AAGAACGTTGAGAATTGTGCGGTCATCACTTAGCACACACGACGCTCTGCAAAGCATACAGACTTGAAGATCAGCCCATGCGATACAATCATAGACGTCAAGTTAGCATGAGTGTGGACAGCGCATGCATTGATGAAGTATGATACCCATGATGAGCAAGTACAACCCCATGCGGCAATACTTCGTGCCAGCCCCATCCATGGGGTACCAAGTGCTACTTGACGTGCGACGCTGCAACGGGTTACTGCTACAGGTCAAAGAGAATCTATATATTTACAGGTTAGCGTCTAACAAGTTGTGATTGTTATCCTGTGCAGGGCTGAATCTATCAAGGGCGGCTGACGAGTGATATGCTGATCTGACCAGGACCAAAGCGTATTCGCACCTGATGAGTGCTCGAGGAGGCGAAAAAAGATGTTATTTCGATCGGTTTATCGAGGTGCGCGTTTTGGATTTCCCACAGCGGGTTCTTTTCAATGGGCACCTTTCAGCGAAACGGGCGGAGATTGGCAACAGATACCTTACAGACCAACCCAGAGGGCCCCCCAAAAAAAAAAGATTGAAAGAGAGTGTCTTTATCGAATTGCACAGTCAAAGGTAGAGCCAAGCATGGTGGCCGTTTGTGGATGGACAACCGTCCCGTTCACTTCATTGCCACGGGCTGCGGTACTGGTGTGGTAAGTTTGGTAAGACGTGCAGACGCTGACACTGTTGACGTCCCAGCACCCCAGCTCGTCAAGGACTATGGGAGGCGCAGATATACATGATCAGTTGCGGCTCCAGCGATATTCAATACAGGTACTACCATTTGTATCCTACACTACTTTGGTTTCATATTGACAATTGTTATCCTGTACAGAACAGGGAGCGATGAAAATGAAGAAGTACTATCATACTATCTTTCTCGGACTCATTGACATGGCGTTAGTCAATGCCTACATCATCCATCGCCGCGTCAAAGCAAGATTGAACCCAGGTCGTGCTCCACCCACGCACGCAGAATTCATGAGATCTATGCAAGTCGCATTGCTGAACGTGGGAGCTGCCGACTTCGAAGGAGACCTATCTGTCGAAGCTTTGGTTGATACAAGCGTTGTGCCGTCGACACACCCTCGCTACACACTCCCGCGTGGCCGTCTCCGGCGTCGCTGCGCCTGGCTCGGGAGCCGGCGTCGTATCTTCGTAATCTTCATAATCGTGGGCGTCAGGACCGATGTCCGCTTTGTCGTCGAAGCTCACTGAAAGCTCGGTGGCGGCTGCAAAGCGCGCAGCCGGGCTTGAACTCTCGTTGCGAACCCCGCCAGACTTGGCAGGCGTAACTGGTACCGTCGGTTGTCCTTTCGCCATGTTTCTTGTCTTTTTCTTGTTCTTCTTCTCTTGGTAGCTCGTAAACTGGAAGGCCATACAAACAGTTCACAATGGTCACAATCTGTTCCCGGGTCGCGGCACGGTGATCCTGCGAGGTATCTCCCACCTCATAGTCGTCACTGTCATCCACGAAGTCAGCCCCATTGGCTAATTGAGCCAGCATGTCGTCCACATTGATACCCAGCTCATTTAGGGTGTCCTTGCCTGGTAAAAGCTCTTCTTCTTCGCTGTCCATAACCACACATGTGACAGATGGCACGTTCACCACACCTGCAACAAGTGTTCAGTTTGAGATCCACTTCCACCGTACAGTCGCATTCTAGTCGTCGGCCGTCAGCAACCACTACTTCCACTGGGACGTCCAAGCGTTGAATGCGCAGGTCAGACTGGAGGCCCAGTAAAGAGTGTACCGCACAACTTGGGATCACACGTCGCTCAGCACCCGTGTCTTGAATGAACATGACGTCAAGAAGGTTATTAATCTTCACAGTGTTTGCGCTTTCACGGCCTTTAACAACCTTCGAGCGGACCACAGTGCTGCTCGAGTCCTTGGCAGCGCGATAGCGGGCTAGAGCTTCTTCACGCTGCGCAGCTGTGGCTGTAGGGTACGCACGCATCCAATGGGGGCCATGGCAAACTAGGCAACCGTCCACAGGCGGTGTCGCGGCCTTGGCAGGCTTCGGGGAGCCTTTGCTCCTCTCGGTACTAGCTGTAATATCGCGGCGTCGTCCATCCTTACCAGCCTTGGTGCTCAGTTTTGGTCCTGACGCGCCAGTTGTGCTGGAAACGGGCTGACGCTGGGAGCTACGCGACGAACCGCTCTCCTTGGTGAGGCGATGAAAACGCTGTTGCGCTTTGGCATGCTCTAGTATGAGATTGAATAGCGCCACGTCATCTGTCTTGCAATCTCGGCGCTCCAACTCAACTAGACGCTGGATATGTTCTTTTAAAATAGCAGGCTGAAGATTCTCGATCAGCAGGCGACACCTGGCCTTCATACGATCTCTGTATCCTTGTAGAGACGGGTCTGTTTTGCCAATCAGACCCTGTAGGCCGTTCTCTTCCACTATCTTTGTAAAGTCTTCAAAGTAGCGAAAGACGCGAGCATCACAGTCATCTGTAGTCATATTTATGTGTAGTGATTGGTGAGCCAATGACTTCACGTCGGGCACAAACTCATTGACGAGAGCTTGACTGCGAGCATGAATGAGCTGCAGGACATCACTGTCCGTGATGGACTCCAGCGGGCGTTGCAGGATGTAGGCCGAGATGATATCCAGCACTTCAGGCTGTATGGCGCCCTATACCGTTCCTACCACACGCTTGAATATTTCACCAGTCACAGTGCAGCGGTGACGTATCTTGGTCACGTAGTGGCTCCACTCACGGTACCATGACACTAGCGAGGCATGATCCCAGCTTACAAGCTTGGGTGGTCGGACGACTTCGTAAATTGGCTGGGGAACGGTAGGACCAGCGTCCATGTTGACGTCTCCGTCCGGGTCCAATGGGAACCTGCCGCCTACCATATCTCAAGGTAAAGAGCAGTAGCGAACTTAAGGCGAACTTTGCCTAGGTTCTAAGGAAAGTCGTACTTATCCGACCAGTTTTGCTCTTCAGTCGGCGACACGCACTGAAGGGAGTTGCAGCCTTGTCGACGACGCGCACGAGGTTGCAAAAGAGAGGTTCCAACGCTTTCAAGCGAAAGAATTCTTTATCACGAGACCGGGGACTTGGGCTCAGGAACGTGAATTGGAAAGTGAGATATATTAAAGCTAGAACTTACTGCTGGTCTCCTAGGAGACTCCTTAGTCGTCCACTGCGGTCCTTTGTAGCAGGACCACCGATGATGTTCATGGTGATGCTCGCTCCTTCCTTGAGCATCAGCAACTTGCGTGTCCATGGCACGCAGGCTTGAAGTTCTTGCCGTCTTCATACACAACATGTAGTGGCGACCATGGCAGTTGGCTCCGGAGCATCAGCTGATGATGCTCGAGTGGAGTGAATGCATGTGCTGCTTGAAGCAGTGAGGTGACAGCACGCTGACACCTTCAGCGAGCTTCAGCTGACAGAACGTCGTCAACACCACAAGCACGCATCAATTTTTAATATGGCACTCACAGCACCAGCGCCACATCCCCAAAGCACAAAAAGCTGATGTCTACACAGAAGACGTACTCTGGCAAGCTAGTCAACAACCACCTCCGCCTATGCTTATTAGACATGCGCTTTCGCGCAAATTCAGTACGACATACCGTCTCTGAAGCCCGTTCACAGCTTCCTGAACAACTGCTCGCGCGCGTATCTGGAGGACCACAACCGTGGACAACCTGAGGGGCTGGACTTACGAACGTGCGTACAATGGCATCTCGACAGCGTAGGAAGGCTCGTTGTAGGCAATGGCTCCGACGAGAAACATCCATCGTGGGTCTCTTGACGAAGGCATTAATGCTTAGACTGATGATGTCACCAGAGGGTGTTTACTCTACATCTAAATGCAACCTACAAGACGACTGGAAAGAAGGCGCAGCCGCAGGGTGATTGAGACCCACTCTCTTTGAAAGTATTGGCTCGCGCGCGTTCCCATTTTCTCCGTGTCTTTACGTCTTCTTAGATCTACAGGAGGTCAAATTCGCGGCTGCCACGTTTTGATTATGTCCCTTTATATCCGCAAGTGCGAATCGTATGCTGTAGGTGAAAGTTTGAGATGAACATTCGATCTAATAATGACGAGGAGGTCATGAACGCACGACCTCCCATTCACGATACGATATATACCAGTACACGGTCGAAATGGTACGGAGCCCGAGAACATTCTTACCGCTTCTTTTCCGAGTTTGTCAGTTGAACGTAGAGCCCAAACAGTAAATGTGTGCGCAATTTGTATGTATCGCTCGTGCTGCAGCAAATACGGGATTGTTGAATCGCGAGCGGCTTGTTCGTATACAGCACTGGCTGAGGAGACCAAATTACGATAATAAACATTAAAAAACCGTGTACAGATCTACATTGTAATCCTGCAGCCACCTCTTGCATTTTGCGTGTGTGTCCCCTCAACTGCAGATGTGTCTCGATACCCAAAGTGTTTGTAGCTGTCCGTCCAACAAAACACAAGCTTAGCTTTTCAATAACTAGCGATTGAAGGACTTAATTGTTGAAAAATTGCACTATTTAGGTCAACATCGCTTCAGATTTTGACACCACGGTTTGGTAGAGCGCCTGCATGAATTGCCAAGTGCTCGGGTATTTTTGGCTGCCATGGGAGTGGGTTCTCCACACGAACTTGACCGAGCGCAGCTCTTAGTTTCGCCAGTACGCTCTGTTAAGATGCCCTCGACCTATAAAGTCCATTAAAGAGACGATTTATAGTGCTAGCCCATGCCGATCCACGATCAGGCAAAGGCACAGAAGGAAGCTGAATGTTGTTCTGCGCATACCAAACTCATAAGTGCGTCATCGATCCACTCCGAAATCGTTTTCATCACTCTACGGTAAAGAGCCAACATCTAGATTGATCCCAAGAAGATCGAATTCGTAGATCATGTATTCGGATTTTGCATGTGAGAGATTGAACTGCTCTGGCACAAATTTCAAGTCATCGACTCGGTCTTTCTCTTCTTCATCAGCGGCTTCCTCAGAACCACTACTTCTACTACTCCCATGGCCTCTCTCACTGTCTCTGGCATAAGTGTCAAAGTCGTAGGTAGTTGCGTGCAAGTTGTATGTAATCCTCTCGTGAATCGCGACGAAGAGCGAGCGCATTTGCGTAAGTACCATTAGCTCGAGTGTCGTTTTCGTAGTCAACAATGGGCTCGTCCTTCTCTGAATGACGTATCGAATTGTTCCTTGAGCTCACATCGCTAAAGGGGAAGTCTTGAACAGCGAAGTAGCTCGGGTCGAGTAGAACGAACTAGCAAGTCGTGAGCTATGACACTTTTTTGTTTTAGAAGACGCCTAAAATGTGGGAGTTAAAGCAAGAGCTTATCCTAATAGTGCTTTAAAATGAAGAACGTACAGCCCAAAAGGCTATATTTTGCCAAGAAAAAGGTGTGTCGTACGGTACACCGCGCAAAGGCATACATTTCTTAAGCTAGACTGCTTATAAAAAGAACGGTTTGCATCACAGCTATCAAACTACAAAGTTTTGCTCTGAAAGTACACCGAACTGTTTTGCTAAATAATAACAAGCGTCGATCGCTTTTGCGAGGGCATTCATTTATTGAATCAGGAAGTGGGTTTGTCCTACTTTTAGGCTCCTTACAAATAGCCCAAATACCTTTTTTACAAAGAGGGCTCTCCCGATGATGCCCTCCCCGTGTACGGCCTTTAAACTGAACTGTACAGTACATGTACTGAAGTCACATGGATTATTTCTTATTCAGGCGAGTTTAGATACACAATTTAGCTAAATATTAGATGAAAGGATTTTTTCACACACATTTTGGATGACAAGTCCTACGTTATAATAAAAATGTCGGCAAAATAGCTGCAAAGCACAGTAATTTTAATTAATTACTGTTTGAGGGGTTTCCTCAAATAAGGCTTTCATCTTCTTATCTCGAACACACAGAACATGAACTGGGTTAGCTCTTCGCTAGAGCTCGCGGGCTCGCTACTGGAGTCCGTAGACCAACAGGCCGCGCTTACGCTTGCCGGTACCTCTACAATAGCATTTTGCACATTATCTTTGATGGCATATTTCTTACCTATCTAATAACTCGTTACAGGAGCTGAAGAAGACGAGCAAGACGCTGAGCTGCAGATACCGAGCCAAACTTCCGAAGATAACGCGACCACTGTCGCGGACACTGATGAATATGAAAGCCTCGTAGGTGGAGAGGCTTCACTGTCGACGGTAAGCTGCTATAACCGCGTAGTTTGCATAAGCTCAGCGTCTTTTAACGACTTGGTACGTTGAAAACTGTATTGGGAACAATAGGATGGCACATCAAGTACCAACTCCAGTCATACGGCAACTATGGCTAATCCTGTGAAGATTACGCCTCCTCGCTCCAACTCGAGTAATAAACTGGCCGGATTAGTGAGTGCCATCTCAACGCAACTGGAGAATGTGTCGTCAGGAAAAGGAGGAGGTCCTCCTTTGAGCAGCAGCGGGTCCCAATCAGCCTCGACGGATGAAGAATGCGCGCGTCTACTTAAGGAACTGACACGAGTGAAGAATGAACTTCGATTGAAGGACAAACAGCTGAGCAGCACCCAGAAGAGCGTGGAGATCTGCGAGGAAGAACTTGTTGCATTGGAGCAGGAATGCAAAAAGAAGATCGCGCAAGTGCAACAAGAGGTGCGTTTTCTAGCACACTATTCATTGCAATAATCTACTCACAAACTTTACTGTAGAAATCTTTCATTCAGCAAGAGAAAAACTCGGACGAGCAGAATTTCATCCAAGCGTTGGAAATGAAGGACAACCAAGTACGCGCACTGAAGGCTGATTTGGACGCTCTGATAGAGGCAAAAGCGCAATACACAGACGAAATCGCTTCATTGAAGGCTGAACTAGCCAAGGCGGTGGAGTCGAACGATACTCTGTGGACTTCCGCAGCTTCGGCTAGTAACGAGTCAGAGCAGCTGATTGGATCGCTCCGTGCGGAGTTGCAAGATACGCTGACGGCTATGAACAACGTGAAACGCGAATACGCAGAGTCGAAGAACACCATGTTTGCACGTCAGTCGCAGCTGGAGAGCACCAACACGGAGCTTGTAAATAATGTGGCAAATTTGGAACGTGAGTTGGCAAAGGCAAAAGAAGCGGTCGCTGTTGCTTCTCAGACCAACGGAGTCAGCGCAAATGCTACCTCTCATTTTGGTGCAAACTCCAATTTTGCACCAATGAATGATGACTACCGACGGGTGCAACAAACGTTGGTGCTTACGAAAAAGTCGTTGCATGACGAATCAAGAAAGAATGATGTTCAAAAGCAAGAGATCATCACTCTGACTGAAGAGTTGCGTCGACTGAAAAAAGCTATTGAGACCACACAAGAAAACTATTCACGGCAACTGGAGGCGACGACTCAGGAGAACAAGAGACTGACAGACCAGGTGAACCAGTTATCGTCTCACAGTAGTGCCACAGCGGCTGCCAACGGCGAGTTGCGTATCCAACGCCTGACAAGCCGATTGATTGAGAAACAAGAGACCATTGACTCGTTGCGTACCCGTGTGACGACGATGGACGTACGTCTTCAAGATGTAACGCTGCAAGCACAGCGGGCCGAAGAGAAACTTTCTCGAATGGAGCAAAATGGCGGTGTCGACGACATGGAAATGGCTACTCCAGTCGGAAAGATGGGCAAGGGCGGCATGCGCTCTCGACCGAACCGCATGGCCCACGTAATCTCTCGTGTAGCTCCTGTAGTAGAACGCAGCCGCCGCGTGTTGACAGCGCTGGACGTGCTGGACCGATGGCTGTTATTCCTCGGCCGAGTGTTTCTCCAGGCCCCTTTCGCCCGCCTTGGAATGCTGTGTTATGTGGTGCTTATTCACTTCTGGGTCTTCATGATTTTGAGCTTCCATACGAGCCATTTGACGGAGGAGATGCAGCTGTCTACTGCTGCTGAGAACGCCGTCATCGAGCCAGGAGAAGACATGATTCCAGGAGGCCACTAAGGGAAATACTTCGAAGTATCTTTTTGTCACAAATATTCTGCCACAATTAAAGTTTTAACACATTTCGACTACCGGTACTGTAAAAGCGCCGCCCTGTATCAAAAACGTCGATGTACAGTCGATGATATATCCAGAGCATTTGTTTGGATTTTACTATGACGCGAGCCAGCTATATTTAGAGCTCGGTCAGTATTCTGTCAATCGTCATTCCGCCACTCTCCTCCCGTCACCAGCATGAGCCAGACTCCAGACGGACCCCTGTCGACCGCTAGCGAAGGCGCCGCCAGCGTCAGCTCCGTGTGCCTTGAGGAGGACACTACAAACGCCGAAATCGCGTGGCTGCGGCGCTGTCTGCCCATCTTCGTCCAGCCAGACGTGGACATTAAGAACCGCAATGATCTGGTCAAAGTATTCTACCGCTTCGAGCGCGACGATCAGTCTGGACAATTATTCTGCAAGCTTTGCATCGTATTTGCCGGTGAGTCCAGCTACAATCGCGTACAGGAAGAGATCGAGAACTCGCTAGCCACGCTCTGCTACCGCACCTTTAACCGGCGGACGTACAAGCGCACGGCCGACATCAACTACATGGAGTTCCGGTACGTCCTAGACGCCAATTATTTAAGGCTGTCAGACTTATGCTAACATCTCTCGTTTGGTGTAGCAAAGTCGACCTGGACCCGGACGCTGCCATGCCCTGGGGCTCCATTTTCTCGCAGGACCACGGCGGCAAGCAACAATGGGCACAGGGCGAGAAGAAGAACCTCGGCAACTGGTTCTCGCTCATGCATCACTATCAGGTGGAGGTCAAGTGCTCAGACTGGAAACTGCACCCGCAGATGCACCGCCCGTACATCTACCTCAATACGTGCAACCACATGATCGGCGAGAAGGACAACAACCCCAAGCTCAGCAAGTTCAACTGGATCGACTACCCGTTCCAACTGGGCGACAACGAAGACGCTTTCCACTACGTCGTGGACCATGTGCCTACCAAGCTCAACCTCTACTCGTACTTTTGCTTCTGGCGCGCTCGCAACGGCGGCGGCTGGTGCGATCGCCACCCTGGTGGGAAGACGGTGTCACGAGACGGCAAATCCATCTACGTCAAGTACCCAGGCACCACAACAGGTGTGTAGGAACTGAACTTGGCGGGGTATGCACACTACTGTAGTACAATATTGTAGCTAACGAAAACAAGAAACAAGTTTTAGATGAATTTTGGTAAATGTCAAACTTGAAAAAAAGTAAAACACTATCCAGCAGCAGGTGAGACGGTTAAAGTGGCCTCATGTGGCCGCTCGGCTTCGTCGTCGTCGATTTTTTGCGACAAGTTGCGAGTCATTTGTTGCGCTACGAGTTCATTTTCCAGTGCAGACGAAGCCGATGAGGTCGGCGACGTCACAGCACTCGAGTCAAAGTTCGTGGGTCCCGTGAACTTGGTCGCGTCCAGCTCTCGCACTTTCATCCACGTCGTCCACATCTCCTCGACTGAGATCGGGGCTTGTTCCAGTAGCCAGCCCATTTGTCGTCTTGTGGCATCAAGCACAGGCTGGAATCCCATTTGCGTCGCTCCAGAGTGCACCCAGTGTAAATCCAGCAACATGAAAGCCATGGCGTGCAACTTAAAAAAAGCCTTCGAGTCGTCAAACACTCGCCAGAACGGCGTCCGACTGACACGTTCAGCAACACGCAACTTCATCACAACAGCTGGAGAAGTGTCCCCGTCCGTCTCCACCGAGTGCAAAACGAGTTTGGTGCACACATCAGGCGCCTCGTCAAGCATCAACAAGTGCATCATCATTCGCATGACATTGATACTCGCCACTGGGAACGGATAGCGGTTGCCTCCTGCGACGGCATTTCGCTCCATCATCGCACGCGCTTTTTCAGGGTATTCTTCCACGAAGTCAACAAGACACTCAAGCGCTAACACACCTCCGCCACGGAAGCCACCGAGAGGGTTATCTGTGTGGAATCCACTGCATTTCCAGCGAGGAGAAGCCAGCATCGCAGCGACGTCAACACCGCCGACTTCACTCTCGCTAGTACTCGAAGCCGACAACACTGCGTCGCTTTCTTCACTCTCCGGTACTAGCAGAGCGTCCCATAGTCGTTTTAACATAGCGACATGGTTCTCGTTTGTCGTATCCAATGGCTCCTCCATACCGAAGCGGAGAGTTTCCAGACGTCGCAACTTGTCACGTAACTGAGTGCGACGTGAGCAGAGCTCAGCTCGGAAGTCATGGAGCACAATTTGTTGCTCTCTGAACAGCATTGCAACAACTTGGACAGCTTCTTCAGCGTCACGCGTTTTGTGTCGCACCTCACGCGCATCAGACGGAAGACCCAAGCTGTTACCGGGGAATGTCGACAAGTAGTCGTCCTCATCCGGCATCAAGCGCGAGCGAACCGAAGTCCGATGTTGATACCCGACAGGATATTTACGGTAGATCGAGTCTTCAAACTCGTGGAAGCGTTCGCTGTGTCGTCCTCGTAGCAGAAGAGGAGCCAAGCAGTTCGCAATCGCATAAGAAGTAAGCCCGTTCTTCTCAGCATGACGTGGTTGTAGCGCCACCGACACCCAGTGACACAGCCGTTCCAGTAGAGGCTTACAATACCACGGCAAATCGTTGACTAGAACCACAAGCAGCGCCTTACATTCCTCTTCGGTCATCCCGCTACCAGGACGACCAGCACAAACCAAGAATCTGTCCAATCTTTCTTCTGTAAGCAGAGGATCCGGCAGCTCCCACAAATATTGAAGCAGAATCGCCACAACTTCGTGAGGATCCACTGCCATTTTCCGATGGAAGCCACCGAGTTCCTCAATCGTATCACGCAGTTCCATAACATGATCGGCTTGCAAATGTGCTTGAAACAAGCCAGGCGAGTCCACGTGCTCGTATAGATAACAAAAGCAGGCTTCAGCGACGTCAGGAAGCCCCAGCGCAGTCTCGAAGCGAGCCATTCCACTCAAGAACGGATTGCACAATACATCGAGCAAGTCGCTACCGAACACATCGTACTCTGGATATCCCAGTTCCAAGAAGCGAAGAACTGCAGTGGCCGCGTCCTCCATCTTCTGGGACTGAGCAGCTTGTCTCAATGTCTCGGACAAGGGGTTGCCACCTTTCCGCGTGTCAAATGCCAGACGCAATTCATGGTGCGAAACCAGTTTCTCAGCCAACATCTCCGTCTCGTCGTCCGCCTCACAAAGACGCACACGTCCACTGACCATATCTTCCGGATCGATGAGCTTAGGTGCTTGCTTCTTGATCTTGCGCGCCTTCGGACGAGGTAACGGGCGAGAGAAGGGCAACGTTTCCGGAGCTAGATCCAGTCGAGGGTCGTCGATTAAGAACGCAAATGGGAGGCTATCGAGTCCAGCGAGGAGATTGAGGAACATTTTCACCTCGTCACGCTGACGAAACAGAGCGAACTCGGTGTAATATGAGGCCAAAAGGTCGAGATTGGTCTCCGATAACACCATACTGAGACTGGACTGCAACACGTGTGTGTTGAGTGCTTGACGGACGAACGCTCGTGTTTTGCCTTCGTCCGTGTGCACGTTCGTGAGGCCAACGGCTGAACGGACTGCGCCTACTAAACCGCGAACGTGACGAGGGAGATCCGCTTCGACACTGGAAGTCACGACCTCGCACACTTTGCTGTTTGTAGACGACGTTACGCCCTTTGGAGCTGTGGCAGCAGCGCGATGCATGGCTTCCACCATTTGCTTTTGGCGAATGGCTTCCATCCGAGTGCAAGTCCACTTGACGACGCCAAAGAACTTGACGGTAGCTCCGTTGCTTGATTCGTCAGCTTCTAGTAGACGTAGACCATGCGAGACACAGCGATCTATCTGCGTGCATAGCAAGTTGACAACCGCCTGCTCGTCGTTGAGTAGCAGTTCCCGAGCGTCGTCGGTGCTCTCCATCATTGCAGCCTTCGGACTGTCATTATTGTCACTGGACGGTGTCGTGTCAACACTGTCGTCCACAGAGCTGCTACGAAGGCTGTTGTTGCCAGTGCCTTTCTTGGCGTCCAGGAAGAGCTGTAGGCCTCGAACAGCATTTTCTAGATCTTCGAGGATGATGCCACGTTGGCTCTTGGCCTGAAGCTGTCGCTTGGCACGGTTGCGACGACGCAATTGTTGCTCTTCCTCCGTCTCCTCCTCGGGCTCACCCAGTACAAAGTTGCCCAGTCGCGCGAAAAACTCCATCGTGCTTGACTGCGGATCCACGAATGACGCCTTTTCAAAGACAGATTTTTTTTTGCCGGAAAGATCGTCCGTGACCAGCCGCTCTACTTTTTGGATCGCGCGACGTTTCATACGAAATGCATGGGATCACCTGCAACAAGTTTATGACCATAGACATGAAATGCAAATGAAAATGGTGATAAAATGTAGCCATCAACACGCCATTTGAAAGCAAGTGTCGTTGGTCTCTAGTCAAACTGCTGTCGCAGCGCCATCTCCGTCTCGGACTTCCAGACGCGGAAATCGGACCCGATGCCTGCCTGGCCTTTCAGCCGCTGGTTCTTGACGCGTTCCTTGCCATCTTTCTTCTCACGCTTGGCCAACTGCTGTTTGGTCGCCACTTCCGGTGGCGGAGGTCTTTTGCGGCCCATTCTGCGCGTTTCCGATGCCTCTTTCTGTCTTCGCTGGTCATTCTCCTGCTCGCGTTCTTGCCTCTCCTGATCTCGCTGGCGCGTCTCCTCCTCGTCCAACAGGTCGAAGGATTTGACGGTGCTCTGAGCTTTCGCACCATATTTAGGCGGCAGGAACGAGGCCGTGGACGCTGACACGCTGGACAAGACGCTGTCGACTGACGGCAGGAGCTGCGCCGGACTTTCCGCCTCTTGGTCCGCCGTCTGCCTCGTTATCGTTTCTTCGTCACTCTCACTGTCGCTGCTGCTTGCGTAGTCGTCACCAAGCAAGAAGGACATTGTTAAAAGTAGTTACTGTAAAACTGTAGCCATTTTGCATGTTGCAAAAAATTGCAGTACTGTAACGTCTCAAAAAAATTTCAACCCAGGCACGCAACGTCATGACAAGCTCCGAGATAACGGCGTGGCTGAAGACTGAGCTGGTGAGCGCGTTGGGCTTCGCGGAAGTAGATGAGATCGTCAGCTACATCACGAGCACATTCCAGTCCAGGCAGGAGGCGTCTAGCTACCTCATCGAGCTGTTGGGAATCCCGGCTGGTCGGGCAGAGCACATCAGCACACGGCTGTTCTCTTCTGAGCCGTCGGCTGCCAATTCTGTCAACGGAGGGGCGGTAGCTGTATCCCAAATACAGGAGGGACTGGTACCTCGACCTACAGCGGTGAACTCGCGTCTCAAGCCCAGCAAGAAAGGCAAGAAAGGGACTTCGGCGCTACTCAACAACGCTCTCATTATCAATTGCCTGCGCTGCGGACGCATTGAGTACAATGGCGGGCGCCGCTGCGCTTTCTGCGATACTGAACTGCACTATGAGGCGGATGCAGCCACAGCCGACCAAGCTGCGCAGCAGCACATGGAGGAGCTTGTGCATCTCGACGAGACGGGTGCCGAGCGCATGGTGGTGCTGGATGCCGAACAGTATTTCTACGACGAGGAGCAAATCGAGAAGCACAGCAGCGACAATCCCAGTAGCGCGAGACGTCCTATCACGATGGCGCTGGATCTGGAAAACAGGCAGTTCGTGGACGTCAAGATCACGCGAAACGAGCAGCTTGCCAAGGACGCAAGGGAGCTGGTGGAAGGCGTCCAGCGCAAGATGCACAAGGGCAAGCGCGGGAAAGGCAGCCTCCATCAGCAGACGGAGGCTCCGTCCACTTCTGGTGGCATCCGCGAGGCGCTCGTGGTGGTGGACGACTCGTACAATCTAGTTTTCGTGTAGAGATGGAATAATTCATGCAAATATTTTGCTACAACCCAGCGAGCACTTTTGACTTGCCACAACGGCCGAAAATTGCATCTACAGCGCTAGTAACTTTTGCGTTTACCAGCGCTGAACTATCGCGGCGTGTGAAACGGAGGAAATTCCGCGGACAGGTCATCGTGGTAAGACTTTGCGGCGTCGGTCGCCGCTTGGGGGACGAAAGGTGCAGCACGTTGACGTCAGTGCCAAGCAGAATGTCGCAATTGAAATTCATTGGTTATCGAGAGATGCGCAGATGTACGGAGTCCGTAGTACGGACGTGCGTTGCCAACACCGACTTGAAAGTCGTGACTGCCATTTGCAAATTTACCCGCACCGTGCTACGTGCGACTCCTCCACAGGCTCGAGCAGCCGTGCTCGACGATTCCAGTCCGTCTATCCTGTCATGTCGACAACCGTTAGCGCCGCTAAAGGACTGAGCGCGCTGCAGCGCCGTGTGGCGGCAGCGGAGTCGTCCAGCCAATGCTCGGCACCGGCCAACCCGCTTTGGGATTTCTACGCCTGTGGACTCGTGGATGAGAACGACGATGTCTCCGACGGAGAGGACACAGAGGACGAGCGGGAGACCCAGGACTGGATTCAGTTCCAGCGCCAACGCGCACAGGCGCGTCTCGCCAACGCGTGTCGGCATGAAGCTCGCGTGATGCACACCGCCAAGCACTGAAACGGCCCCCAGAGCGAAGCACCTCGATCAAGTGCCGCAGTGCAACACGATGACCAGCATTCCCATGCGTACATGTTTTAAGAGCTGTAGACTACGATTAATTAGATTAATGGGATTCTCGTTATGGCGTGTGGCCATGCACCGCTGCTGTTGTTGCTGGGATGTTCCATCTTGGCTCGATCGATACGGTCTTGTTCAAACTTCATTGGGTTGGCGCTGACAGCGGGAATAGTGTAGCTGCGTCTGACACAAAATAAACACAGACTGCCAAACGGAGGCATGGAAACACCACCACCTTAGCCCACGCCATGGCCGTATTGAAAGGGTATCGCTTCGCTGGCTGCACTCCTGGAGTCGAAGTTCGACAACGCTGCGACTTGTGCAGCAAAGCTACGCCAAAGAATTTTGTCGGAACAACACACTTGCTGTCTCAGTGCGACCTCCTCGACTCGGGGACCGACTGTGTTGACTCAACAGAGGACACCTTTAAGAAGACAATTAAACAGTAAGCCTTTCTCCTGCTGATTAAGCCGTCATACCTGTTCATGTTTGAAACAGTTTGAGTTCTTGCCTCCAGGTCAGCAACAGTCACATCAATTGCCTAGATGAACCAGATGGCTACATTACGTACCTTTGAAAAAAAAAAACGAAAAAGAGACCAGAAAAGTACGCTTCAACAAGTTTTGTGATTGGTCCCATTTCTGAAGCTTTTTTTATTGACACAGGAATCAGATTTGCCACCACTTCCACTCGCCATGGCCGCCACCGCTTTATCGCGCGTCCACTCAAGCGCCAGCGGCTACGGGGCTGTAGACACACCTCCCACGTCACCGTTGCTGCCGTCGTCTTCCGTGCTGCACCGAGACTCATGCGAGCATCTGTTCAAATTCCTCGTACTCACACAAGTGTTCATGTATCTCGAGGCCGGCGCTGTGCCGTCACTGCTGCAGCAATTTACGCTCACGTTCCGTCTGAGCCCACAAGAGCAGGGCCTGCTAGGTGCCATCGTGTACATCTCCATCTCGCTGGCGTCACCCTGGTGTAGCACGCTCTTCCGCCGCTTCGATCCTCGCCAGCTTCTTGGCGTCTCACTCGTGGTCAATAACCTGGCGGTTCTCGGCCTTGCATGTACCCCCACCTCGACCTGGTACTCCAAGTCACTACTCATCTCATTGCGTGGCTTTGTTGGACTCACACAAGCCTTCAGTTGCGTGTACTCACCGCTGTGGGTGCACGACTATGCTCCCAAGGCCAAACGCGGCACCTGGATGAGCTATCTGCAAGGCGCCGTGCCCGTCGGCATCACACTCGGCTACTTCGCCGGTTCAGTCACTATCTGGTTGGCATCACAGGGGCCAGAAGAGGCTGCGACTGCAGTGCAAAGTGTCGTGTCCGCTCTATCCAAAGCTGCATTGGGGATCAATGCGAACGCCGACATCGTCGACGGCATCGACGACGCCTCCATGCGCCTTTGCCACGGAATTTATTGCTGGCGTTGGCCGTTTTTGACTCAATTCGCGCTCATTCTGCCGCTGTCTATCTTGATTTTTTTCGTTCCACGGGAACATATTCGACTTCGCTCGACTCGTCGCCGCTCTATCGTCATTGTGGATGCAGATGAGGATGTGGATACCGGTGTGGAGACGACAGGTGAAGACGAACTCATTTCGGGGAATGGCAACGCATCAGATGGCTACAGACTTCGATCATTGGCGTCACATGAAGAGGAGGAGAACGCGTCGAGGTGGAGCAATCTGTGGCTTTTGCTGCAACATAGAGTCTACGTGTTCATCGTCATGGGTCTGTCTGGCTTATTTTTCGTGGTGGCCGGTGTGCAATTTTGGACGACGCTGTATTTGGAGACCAACACGACGGGTTCCACGTACGAGATCCACCTGTCATATCTATTAGTAAGCGGCACAGGTCCTATCATGGGCGTATTCTTCGGTGGGTGGCTTATCGACCAATTCGGTGGCTACTCAGGCCCATATCATCAAATGCAAGCGCTGCGAGTGTGTATGGTGCTTGGAGGTGCCGGGTGTCTGGCGGCTTTGCCAGTGTCGTATGTACACAACACTTTTTCCATCGCTGTGTTCCTCTGGCTCATGTTATTTTGCGGAGGGAGCATACTTCCTGCTTGCTCTGGAATCGTCATCTCAGCAGCTCCGCCACGGTTGCGTCCACTGGCTTCTTCTGTTGCATACGCCAGCTACAACCTCTTCGGATATGCAGCATCGAACTACATTCCCGGTTTCATAATGAATTTCATCATCGACCCCAGTGCCGACGCAGACGCAGATCCAAGTGATCTTGGCAATGTTGGATCATGCAACGCTGCGTGCACTTACCGTATCGGCTTCCGTATTGTCCTGTTTTGGAGTGTCTGGGCCTTCTTCTGTCTCACATGCGGTGCCATCGAGTCGGGTCGCAACTACGCAGCCACTGTGGCAGCGCACAGTAACGGTCACTGCAACGGCAACGGGAAGCAACACACGACGGCAACTACTTCGCATCAACCGGTATCCAAGAGTGCTGTGTAAATAAGTCGTGGTCTCGAAAGTGGCCATCGATAGCATCATGTTGATAGATCCATTTTTACGTACGTGAGCGACATCGCGTATATTTATGATCGTAAATGTCTTTATTCACTTGGCTGCGTTCGGGTTACTTGCCATCATTTGCTTAAAGCGAGGAGCTTTGCGTAGAAGAGTATTGAGCATTGTACCCACGAAGAAGGCGACGACTGTCGAGGTCATGGTAATGACGTTGTACGGCATACTGAAGTCAGGTGTTGGTAGCGGTACGAGCAGAGGCTCAGTGAACAACGTAGTGGTAAACGAAGACTTGGCTTCCTTGTCACAAGACGAGGTATTATCATCCGGTACGTCAAAGGTGGCCACACCTGAGGCGATATCAAAGCCACGATTGGCATCAGGAGGGTGTTCTGACAAGCGTAGAAACGTTTTCTCCATCTGAAGTGAGAATACTAATGTTGTGTTAGCCGGAAGGTAAGCCTCGAGGCGTAATTGGTTGGGACGTCCACGTAGCTCAGCAGGTACAAAATCAAAGGTTTGAATAAGCTTCTGAGCCTTCTCTTCGCTGCCATCGGTGCTTGCTCGGAACGTGTGGAAGAAGATACGTAGATACCAAGGAATGACGTCGTGATAAGTCACATGCATACCACACGATGGGTGATTATTCTTGAGCTGCACTGCGATGCCGCCGCCTACCTGGCCATATCCAGTGACGAACCGATGTGCAGACACCACATCCTGCTGTGTTCTGTAGTTGGCTTTCAAAGCAGCTTCTTGTGCTGCCAGTTTCCAGTCTTCGAACCACGCATCAGAGAGCGATATGGGCTTTCCATGGAGATCGGTGGTTACCACGTCGGACGACTCCATGCCTTCAGTGCGAATAACGCTCTTGTTAGCCAGCGGACACGCAGTTAAATCTGTATTGGGATGGTCGCTCGCAAAGAAGAGCGAACCGAGACTCCACTGCGCTTTGTTGCGTTTGGTAGGACTTTGCACGGTAGTCAAATGTTGTCGGAGTCTCCAGTTACCTGCACTTGATCTCTCAGCATAAAGAGAGAGCGAGAGATACTCCCCTGACACTGCATTGATAGGGTCAATAAGACTCCCCAGCCCAGTAATCGCTCGACACGGCAGCATCTTGAGCCAAGGGGTCAAGTTCTCTGTGCACAGCTCCTCTCGCGCCAGCGATCCGTGGAGGAAAACAAGGGTAGGATCGGTGTTGGTCTTCGGGAAGGCACCCAACTCTAGAGGAATGGATCCTGGCAACAAGCCCGTGACGACAGCTTCGTCCATTTGATTCAGCGACGCTGAGAAGATGCCACCCAGCTCCGATGTGATGCCTCGCCAGCGTTGCTGGATGTTGGCGTCGCCACGTAGTGCCACCTGTAGTCGAGTACCGAAAGGTGCGTGGGCAAATCCGGAGCTGTTCAAGCTCTGGGCTGACCCGTAGCGCCAGTCCGCGTACCTCCCGACAGAGAAAGTCAAATGTAGCGATTCGGCGTCCTGTTTGTCGAGGATCTGACGCAATGCATTGGGAAAAAGCGACTCGGCGTCGGTACGGGAGGGTTCGTCAACGGAGAACTCAAAGTGACCCAGGACCTGGTTGAGGGCAGGAAGCGGGCGTAGTTGTAGCTGTTCCGTGAAGGCGGCGCGTGCTCCATGGAGCAGCGAGAGCAAGCTCAGGAGGATGGCGAGCGACATTTTAATGTTTGTGACGTATGTTGCTGGTTGTTTTATGTACGACACACCATCGAGCAACTTCCATCAATTCGAAGTGGTTCCTTGCGTCAAGAGCAATGGACAGGCCTCTTCCCCAAGAATGAGGTTCTGGGCTTGGCAGAACGTGCTTGAGACAAGGAGAGAGCCTACCAACTCTTCGAAGTGATGTAGAAACTGAAAAATGAACGGGCACAAGCGCGGATTACGTCTGTGTCTGCGGGCAAGCTTCAACTGGGCACGGGCAACCGAGTCAAAGTTTGCGAGCGATTTCGTGGTCGAAGTTCGCCCATCAACACGCACGAAAACACCCACGAACACGAAGTCGACTATGGTCCATAGCCTATGGATTGGAACTTCCATTTGCGATCAGTTGAAGTGATCGCCTCGTCGCCGAGTTGACCGCCAGGTGGTCTCCGCAATGGACCTCGTTCAAGCATTGGGACGCCCATCACCCACGATCTGCTGGCTCCCGGCGCCCCACGATGTGGAAATGACGCCGGAAGGTGATCTTCTTACCGACTCGGCAGGCAGGGATGATGCGGACAATCCTCTTATTGGATTGATAATGCTAGTTAGCTTGCAGCTACGTACATGCAGTTGGGTCGGTCCCAATGCCTTCTCTATACAACTACACTATGACGGGCGGGAAAGCAAAGCAACGAAGAAGAGCACGCCACACGGAAGCCTGGCCCCGTCCTCATGTGTAGCTCATGAGCTGGCACAGCAGCTCCTCGTCCTCCTTCTTTACGAAGCGACCCTTGACGCGCAAGCGCGAGTTGGCGAAGTTCTTGCGCACGTCGTAGTCCACCTTCTTGGCCCACACGCGGCGTTTGCGCTTCTCGAGGAAACGCTCAATGCGTTTTCTCCGAGCCTCAGGCGAGTAACTGCCAATGTATTTGCCCTCAGACGAGGGCGACATGCCTTCCCTGCGCTGGTCGCTCTCGTTAGCGGCCGAAATCTCCATGCGAATGAACTCTTCGAGGTGCTGGCGTCCCAGTCCGCCGTACTCGCTTCCATCGGACGAGCATACAGATGCCAAACGCACGCGCTGTTTATAGTCGCTGTCGTACCACGTGCCGTCATCTTCGACGCCTGTGGGGCTACTGTCGCGACCCAGGAACGACTCGTTCTCTTGCACGCGCGACAGGCTACTGGACTTGTACTTCTTTCCGTACGATGACGAGTAGGTGCGGTCGAAAGACGACGAATGCTCGCGATAGCTCATTCTGTTGTTGTTGTTGCTGTTGCCACCACGCATGGGGATCGAGATGGGTCTGCTGTTGGACGATGAGTAGTTGTCGTTGTCGTCCTGGTTGGAAGCCGCAGCGGCTACAAGACCGTCGAAGGGAGAGCGATACGATGACCACGTGCGGCGCTCAGGGGACTCGTCGCTAGCTTCGCTAGAGTCCATATCCACATCGCTGCTGCTGCTGTCATCCTCGCGACCCGGGATCATAGATGTGAGTGGGCGCTCCTGGATCTTTTGCGCCAGGAGCGCCATAGCCGAGCTATACGAATCGCCATGTGGGTGCATGAAGCTGGACGAAGGCAGGGAGCTGGCCGCACCACCGTCGAAAGCCGCGAAGCCGCGCTTCTTCCCAGGCTGCCACGATGACGGCGGCTCGGAGGCGTACAGCGGGTTGTCAGCGAATTTGCGCTCGTCGGGCGCTGACAAGCTCATGAGTGTTTCGGCCACTTCGGACTCGATCATGGTGGGAACGGGTGGCTGCGGCAGTTCCTTCTACGGCTAATGGCTTCGCTACGGATATGCGAACGGTTCCTTCGGGCCTGGGTCGTTACGATTTGGCTTTTTGAAGAATGGGCGTTCGACTGCTGTGTGGCTGCCGTCTCTGTGCTTCCTGGTTCGGAAGGTTTGTCTCTGTTTTTGTATGCAGAGGCCAGTTTCTACTCTTTTCGAGTGTCAGCCAGCTCGACGAGAGCAAAATCCATTTGGCCAATGTATGCGCGCCAAGTTCAAGATGGCACGCGCTAGCAAGGTGACCATGTATTAATACTGCATGCACTTGCCGAGCGCTCACAGTGGCGTAGACTGCACCAGCACCCAGCGGAGACCATTGCAGGCAGCGAAGGTGCTGGCTAACAACCATGCACTTGCGATCGCATATCGGCAGGTGGTGGCCCTCCCGATCCTGCGGTTAGGGCGAATGCAGCCGGCCGACAACAACAGCTTACAGTTTGGTTTTAGAAAACATTTTCTAGCGACTTGGACGCTCCTGACAATAGTGACCAATGCGTTGCCTGAATTGGCACAAGTGCTGAGTGCCATACTTCGAGGTACAATGCAGCGGTGAACTCTTCCTCAGGCTTCGAATTTGGTACATGGTCTCCGCAGATGGGCCAATATTACAAGTAGAGCTTTACCAGTTGAGCCTTCGATCCTAGCAAGGACGAACGATAGTCTTCTGCGCCACAGCAAATTGCCAGCAACCACTGCAACTTGTACCCCTGACCACTCGCAAGCCCTTCGAAAAACGGACCAGTGAAAGTCTGAAGCGCGGCAATGTCGCGTCGCGATATTACCATGGCAACAAAGAACTGAGAACGGTGGATCCGTGGCGATAGCGTTTTGAGGGAGTTCTAACACCACCACCTCCGCAAGCAAGAACTAGAAACACGCTTGGTGGCCGCCGGCCAATACCTGGCTGCAAAATATCTGGGCGCATCTTGTCGGACAAGTTGAAGCTAGCTTTTGTCGCTTTTAACCTCCGATTTATAATTCACTGCCTAAAATAATGCAGCCATCACAAGCCAGTGCCGAAAAACGCTTCAAGCAACACCGCAATGGAGACAAGGAAGGACGGTGCGAGGCAGGCGCCGCCCTCGCCAATCAAGCGGGCGCCGCTGAAAATCCACACCCAGGAATACGTGGACACGCCGAGTAGCAGCACTACAGCATCACCAGCCGAGAGCTGCGCTGCCTACGTCGAGAAACAACTCAAGCCTTGGGAGCGCTCGGCAAGCGTCGCCAGCTCTGTCAACAGCTCGGAAACCAGCGAAGTACTGGACGACACCAGCAATGAGGCACAAGAGGGGGAATCAGTGCGCTCTATTACGGAGCCAAATGATGAGAAAGCAAACGCTCAGGCGCTCAAAATGCAGTCGCACTTGTTAGCGATGCAAATGCGACTGAATGGACTCCAGCGACTGGTGGAAGAGGCTGCATTCCAAAACAGGCTTCACTCGTGCTCACAGGACTCTGTCCCAGACACGCAGTCGCATTTTGTTCCGGCGGCAGAGGCGAACGAAGGTGCACGCGACGATACAGATCTTCAGAGAGACGCGGAACCGACCCCGAAAGAGAGTGTGAACGAGTCCGATCTGTTGGGCTCAAAGTCGTCTAGTGACTCAGTAGAGGGCGCACCGAACGATAAAGCGAACGATAGCAGAGACGACCTACAGGACAGTAGCTCGAGCTCCAGTGAGGACGACGGTCATCCTGCGATTGCCACTCTATTGAAAAAGATTAAGGCGTTGCAGACGCAGCTGAAAGAGGCGACTGATGAAAATCAGCAGCTTCAGAGCACAGTAAACAAATTAGAAAAAGAGAACGAACGACTCCAAGCTCAGACAGAAGCAAGGGTGACTGACGTAAGTTGCGATAAAGAATCAAATGACGCGGAGGGCGCTGAAGCCTGCAAACATCGCGACGAAAGCCTTTCCCGCTTAACCCTCGCAATATTTGGCGAGCCATCAGCATTTCAAATGGTCATGGAAGAGGATTTAGCAGTCCTAAAGAACCACGAGCGATGCCAGCACAAGTTGCACGAACTTTGGGATACTATCCGGAAGCTCAGGACCTTTGTGGAAACGTATGAGCTCGAGCGAAATGCATTAAGAATTCAGCGAGACGACGCAGTTGCCGACGCAGACCGTGCGGATGCCGAGAATGTCAAGCTGGCTAGCAGCAGCAATCCACAGCAGAAGATTAAGTATCTGCAACAAGTGAAGAAAGATAACCAAGCCTTGCGACGGAAGAACCGTGCGCTGAACATGAGGATAGCCAATCAAGCAGCCAAGTATGTCCGAGAGAAGAACGGCTGCTCGCTGCTCCAGGAGGAATGCGAGACGACAATTGACACCACACTGGGATCTATGACGCTTGATGATACGCTCATCGACGAGCCTGCATTGCGCACTGGCGAGGAAATACTGCAGAGCATGCGAAACCGTAGTGAGATTTTGGAGCAGCGGCTTGAGAGTCTTCGCCTTGCGAAGCAGGAACTACCTGAAGACGACGACACTTCGAGTGAAGTAATAGGACAGCGTCCGCCAGCAACAAGAGCTCGGTGATGCCTGCGAAGAAGCGGTATTTATCGTTTTTATGTGGATGCTTCGTACAATAACCATTTCTGATTGGAAATCAATTTTTGATTACATTATGTCATTGGATAAAAATTCGAAAAAGAATTATGGTGGCATCCATTTTCATTTCAACAAAGTGTCTTTGTTGTGCCACAAGGTGCGCAGTGATGGAGACCTCGCACGCTGGCGCTGACAGCGCTGATCACCTGGACAGCTACGCGTCTGCCGCTGGACTAATGCAACTTAGCTCAGCAGTGATCGCAGCCGATGCTGCAGATGCCAGCTCCAACAGTGGCGGCATTAGCAGCAGCAATAACAGTGACAATTCCAACTCCTCATCCGTAGACGCGTCGCTACCTCCGGGCTGGCAGCGGATCATCCACGGGTCGGGGCTACCCTGTTACGTACACGAGGGTATGGGAGTTGTCTGCTGGACACGACCGTATCCAGTGGATGTTGGTGGCGACGGCGCGCTGTCGAAGCCGGAGCTCCATCGCCTCGTGAAGCAGCACGTGCCACCACTTAGCATCTTCGCAACTGGGTCGAATGCTGCTGCACAGAGACGAAAGGAAAGTGTGGGCTCATCGGATACGGGAGTCGATGCGAGTGCATTGAATTCTCAAGAACCGAGTAGCGTAAGGAAGGATGTTAACCGTTCTTGAACAAGGAGACAGCTCCTTGTAGATTGCAGCAAGACTGATTGAGGTATGTGCTTGTCATTGTTGGAGCAGGGACAGACAAAGAAGCGCAAATTGGACGTGGTGGCCAAGGACCAGAAGGGCAACGCTGTCAAGCAGCAGTCGATGGTGTGTTACTTAAATTATTGCTATCTCTGTTGCAACATTGAGAATAACGCAGCTTTATCCATGTAGACATTGGAAGAGTTCAAGACACTAACCATGGGTGACCCCCGCGTTCTCCAGGTGAGTCAATATAGCGTATAGTTGCTAAAAGAAATAGTTCGTAACTAACTGAAAGGTAAACTAGGCATGCATGGAGTTATCGATCAAGACGCCGGCTCAAGTTCTTCAGGAATACCAGAATCGGAACCGTGGTGTTTCAATTAATTACAACACGATACCCGTAGAAGGTGATGGCATCAAGCTCTTCAAAACCATAGCTACTGCCGGCAGCACTGTTGGAGAGGTATCGTATGAGGATAACTAGTGCGATTCTTTGTGGGAGGTTTTGTACTGACTTGCCTATTTGTTATGCAGGGTGTTGCCTCGACGAAGAAAATTGCCAAACAGTTAGGGGCGCAACAGTTGCTAGCGCTGTTGCACGAACGGACAGCAAGGAAATACTATGAAGTGGCGGAGATGTACAACAGTTCCATGAAGGGCCAACCAGTTGCCGGCGAGTCATCCACGTACGGACCTCCCTCCACACAGCGCAACGACGCAAGGGGTGGACGTGGCGTGGATCCTCGCCTTCAGCGTAATGGAAATGGCTCGAATCGGATGCGAAAAGCTCGACGATCGCCTCCGTCGAAAGAGTATGATGCTGGATACCACGAATATGCAGTTGACCGACGCATGAATGCGCCACCTCCTTGGAATGGGTACAACCAGCAGTCAATGCAGCCTGTAGGTCCATGGAATGGTGGAGGTGCGCAAGGTGATATGGGATTGGACACTGTGGCGCCTGAGCGTGTGGTGGTGTATTCTCAAACGCCGGCCGGAAATGTGGCAAGCTATGGTGGCGGACAATACTACAATGTTGGAAATGCGTGGGGAGGCTATCCGAATATCAGCCACGCACCGCATCCAGCAGTCTATTCTCAGCAGTACAATGGTGCCTACGGTGAAACTCAGCCGCCTGTAAACAGACCGTACGGTTATGGCAATTATCACTCACGACCATCCGATCGCCAGAACGCTGCAACACCCATCGAAAGAGTCACGGTAAGTGCCTACCGGTTTTTCATCTACCGATTTCAGCTTGTAAACATTGTGCTGACTGTGGTGAATATTGCTGGACTGCAGGCTAACTTACGAAACCAGATGTCGAATCAGTGATCGAAGAGAGAGGAACTCACGGCTACTGAAGGGAGTGCTAATGTACTCGAGGTGCACGTGGCGAAGGATGACCATATTCAGTAGTGTAGTGCTCAAAAACTCGGTCACTATGTTGCCACGATATTTATGTCGAAGCCGAGGTCTCTTTCCGCTATGTTTAGGTGACTCATGTCGAAGTGATCTTCTTATCCCTAAGCAGCCTTGGCGCAACCTAATCTGCGTTGCCGCAACATACACATCTCCGTGATCATGCGACTCGCGCAAGTCAACGACGCGCGACAGAGAGTTACGTAAAGATGTGGAGTCAACTCATGCGGCCATTCACGGCGCCACAAGGGAAGAGCGTGGGCTCGACAGCCGGAATCTCGCTGCGTTGAAAGAGACATTCGGCTTTGCCTGTCGTAGGTGAAGAAACTGTCTGCGTAACGCTCAACTTACTTGCCTGTCACCACCAAAAGTGCACTTGTCAATCGATGGAGGGCTTTCTGCTCGTCTTCGCCAAAGAACGCAGTGCGCAGGTGCAGTACTGTGTGCTGGAGCATGGCATGTTGCGCTGCTTTGATCAGCCTGGCGGAGCGCTGCGCGAGTCTGTCGGACTCACGAGACATCGCATCCGCGTGCAGCCACTTTTCAGCGACAACGCTGGAATGTGTCCGAACCGCTTCGCAGTGCACGCGCTCGAGGTGAAGCGCAACGACCAGGCAGGTGCATTTGTATCGGCCGGCAAGTGCGAAAAGGCCTACTACTTCGCTGCAGCCACCTCCAAGACCATGATTAAGTGGGCCAATGCCATTCACAATTGGCGACGTCATGCATTCGACGACCCCACCAGCGGTGCGCTGTCCGTCCACGATGCCATCACCGACGAGGCCATGAAAACCCCCGACGCAAAACGACGCTCGGTCCTACTGGAAACGCAGCGGTTAAACCTCGTCAACTTGGCTAGCCGCTTCGACGTCAAGCTTCTCGCGGCCAGTACGAGCACTGCTAAGAAGTCTGGCGGCTTGTTCAGAAGTCCGTCGCTCCGCATATCCTCATCATTCAAAGACCCTGCCGAAATTAAGACATCCCGGTCCAGTTTCCCTACTATGTCCTGGCTGCCGGGATTCTCTTCGCTCGACCTAACTTGCTAGGGAGATAACTATGTATTGCTCTCGCTGTAGCAGTAAAAAGTTACGTGTTAAGTGTCAAGAATGGACACACCATAAGATCAAATCGACTATTGCCAATGTGAAATTTCAATGTAGACCCTAGTCAAAGAGGTTTGCCGTCTCTCTATGCGATTATAGATAGAGTCCTTCGGGAATGTTGGCCTTCTTCTTGTATAGCGCTTTCTCCTTCGCCTTTCGGAAGTCCGACTGCGTCACACGCATACGACGTTCACGCAGAGCGAGCAGACCCGCTTCCGTGCAAACAGCCTTGATGTCAGCTCCAGAGAGCTCGTCCTTGGACATGACGAACTCCTCCAGATCCACGTCATCACCCAAACTCATGCGACCTGTGTGAATACCGAAGATACGACGCTTGGTCTTGATATCTGGCAACGGGAACTCAATCTGCAAAAAACCAATTGAAAAAAAATGAGTATCACCAAATTCAACACTTGATCTCATAGTACACACCTTTCTGTCGATACGTCCAGGTCGAATAAGCGCAGGATCGAGGCTCTCGATGGCGTTCGTTGCCATAATAACCTTCACGTCGCCACGCTCATCGAAACCATCCAACTGGTTCAGCAACTCAAGCATTGTACGCTGGATCTCACGCGTACCGCCACTACTCGAGTCGTAACGTTTGCTACCCACAGCGTCAATCTCATCAATGAACACAATAGACGGCGCGTGATCGTCTGCCACACGGAACATCTCGCGCACCAGTTTCGGACCGTCACCCAGGTACTTCTGGATGAGCTCGGAGCCGACAATACGCAGGAACGTAGCCGATGTCTGATTGGCTACAGCCTTGGCCAGCAAAGTCTTGCCCGTACCAGGCTCACCATACAGAATAACGCCCTTGGGCGGACGGATACCGATGCCTTCGTAGAGTTCCGGATGCGTCAATGGCAGCTCCACAGCCTCCTTGATCTCCTGGATCTGACTCTCTAATCCACCAATATCTGCGTACGACTCGAGTGGAGCCTTGTCTACCTTCATGACGCTCACCATCGGGTCCGTATCGTCCGCCAGGATACCTACAACCGACATGACCTTATTGTGGAGCAACACAGAGCAGCCAGGCTCGAGCATATCTTGGTTCACGAAGGACATGACACCCACGTAGTACTCTGGACCCACAGAGGACGAAACAATGGCGTGATTGTCATCGATCATCTCCTCGAGGGTGCCGACGCCCATGGGAGTGCCACGCAGATCGTCCACCTTCGAGCGCTCCTCCTCGTCCTTCTCCTGCTTGGGCTTCATCACTTCCTGATTCTGGATAAACTCCTGCTCCATTAGCAGAAAATCCTTGATACGTTCCATCTTTAGCAGACGCAACTTGCATTTGGCCGTCGGGTATACGGTCGGGATACGCACGGCGGCGGACGGGCCTTTTTTCTTGCGACGCTTACGCGTCATGGCACCACCACGAGGCTCAAACTTTTTCTTCTTCTGCTTAGCAGCATCTTCCTTCTTCTTCGCGGCTTCATCGCGCGTCTGGCGCGGCAATCCGCTCTGGCCTTGCCCCATTCTCGCTGCCTCCTTCTCCCCTTTGCAACAGTGTGAAAAGATCTCTCCCTAATGATAATTTAAAAACCTCGGATACGTGAGGTTTTATGTAGTGCCTTTAGAAAAAGTACGAATTGCTTTTTCTAAACTAAGTTGAAGTGACCATCACTCCTCTCTTGGCACAGCAAGTGTAAAGGTTGCCCTGCCCGTAAGCGTGCTGTGGATCTCCGTCCATTGCCAACGGCCGCCGTGATGTCCGTTGATGTGAGAGCCAGTTATTAATAGGCGGTGTCGCTGGTTTTGGCTTCTTTAGACGGTCTAACTTAGACCTCTGCTGTGCACCGCCGGGAGTGGAATTTCGCGGGCCGTTTGGAGTTTCACTTTGAGTGCAACGCGTTGGCCGGAAAGATTAGATCCTTCATCGACTGTGTGAGCCGCAGCCAAGAGTCTCGTTGCAAGAACAGTGCTCATTGAGCTTGCCATCTCGACAGATCGACGACAGCTCTGTCCACTGTACGGGAATTTGCTAGGTGGGGTTATCCATTCACTAAAGAACAACACTTGCTTAAATTTCTGAAATCTTGTTCTTAAACTACTACTAGACATACCGACAGAATGGCTAGCTACACGCCGACGGGGCCTTCCTCCTCTCCGCTTAAATCAGTCGGCTTCCCGCCTCTCTCATCCCGAAATCTGTCGTCGAGAGGGCTGTCAGGAGGCGACAAACTCAGTGGTCCCTCGGAAACTTTAGCTTCTGTTGGTGACACAGTCAGCTCGACCCGTAACGCAAGCACCACGACTGCAGTTGCTGCTCCTCCCGCTCGGCCAGGGACGTACTCTTTCGTTGTAGCAGGAACAAACTTCCAAATCGACGAAAAGTACAAATTTGTCAAAGTCATAGGTCGTGGTGCCTATGGTGTTGTCATGTAAGAAACCACGTTTGACATTTTTCATATTTTTCATAAATCTGATATTTCTCACTGTAGTTCGGCCGAAAACACGGAAACAAACGAAAAAGTTGCCGTAAAGAAAATCTCCCGGGCATTCGAAGACCTCGTGGACGCCAAGCGTATATTACGCGAGATTAAACTCTTACAGCACTTTGACCATGAAAACGTGATCACAATTGTAGACTTGTTGCCACCGCCATGCTTAACGCAGTTTGACGATGTTTATATCATCGCCGATCTCATGGAGACCGACTTGCACCGAATTATCTACTCGAGACAGCCGCTTACTGACGACCATGTGCAGTATTTCCTGTATCAGATCTTGAGAGCTCTCAAGTACATTCACTCTGCCAATGTCCTTCATCGAGACTTAAAGCCGTCGAATCTGTTGCTCAACTCGAATTGCGACTTGAAAGTGTGCGACTTTGGCTTATCGCGAGGTGTCACACCCGAGGAAGACAACATGGAACTCACAGAGTACGTCGTCACACGTTGGTATCGCGCGCCAGAGATCATGCTCTCGTCGAGAGAGTACACCAAGGCAATTGACATTTGGTCCACTGGATGCATTTTCGCTGAGCTACTCGGTCGTACGCCACTTTTCCCTGGTGACGACTATATCCACCAACTCCAAATCATTTGTGACAAGATCGGAACTCCATGTGAAGAGGATCTGCATTTTGTTGTGAGTGAACGAGCCAAACGCTTCATGAAGAATCAGCCAATGAGACCTGGTGTTCCGTTTGCTAAACTCTATCCGAAAGCTTCACCGGAAGCCATGGACTTGCTGCAACGCATGCTTGTGTTTGATCCGGTAAAACGAATCTCAGTGGAGGAAGCTCTGGAGCATCCGTACTTGGCGTCACTGCACAATTTGGAGGACGAACCTGTTGCAGACAGTTGCTTCAGCTTCGACTTTGAGAAAGAAGACCTGACCGAGTCTCGACTCAAGGAACTCATCTTTGAGTACGTCTCTTGTTATTCGAGTAATTTGGCATGCATCTAACATGTTTCCTTGTCGCTCAGGGAGATCCTTAGAATTCACCCGGATGCACCACGCAGTCCCTTAAAATCGTCTCCTGCAGGAATAAACAGCCCTCCTCCCACTGAGCAAGTGCTTAGCCCAAGGTACGTCTTGACCAAATACGATGCTCATCAAGGTAGCTGATCGCTTGTGTTCATACTTGCCTGGTAATTAGCACGACTCACTCGCACACACAGGACTGATCCATGACGAATGCATACCGTTAAGACACCAGCTCGAAGAAAGAGTGATTAATGCAATTAACAAAAATGCAAAATGAACCTCAATTGCTCCTCAAAGCAACAAGTTACGCAGCAGTTTGAGTCTTTTTGCGATCGTGATAGTTCGTCCAGGGTCCACTGCCCTTGGCATAGAAGTCCATCGGATACGAACCTTCCTTCCACTGCGTTTTCTCTAAGCAGACTTCCGCCTCGTACGCAGTAAGCAGCGGCTAGTGACAACAACAGCGTTAGTAATATGTAGAACGCTTAACTGCCTGTAAGCACCGTCAACTCACCTTCGGGAATGCGTAGCCCCAATCAATTGAAAGTCGAGGGCACGCAATCTGAATCCACGCGTCAACATCCTTGAACCGAGCAAGCTGTGAAGTCCACAAGCCATTAGTAAGATATAAATTATGTCTAGTATACCCTCAAAATGTGATTACCTTATCGGGGAACAGCTCGGACAACAGAAGTACAAAATACTCCTTGCCACTTTGTTCCAAAAGCTCCTTAACGTGATCGAGAATCAGCGGGTTACCCTGATGTCCGAGCGTTCCAAGCACAACACCGAACTTCTTTGCTCCCTTGGCCTTGTCGATGGCAGCACGACGGATTTCCATCATTTGCGGTAGATCGTACTTTTCGATCGTAAGCATCTTCGGGTATGGATCGTAGCGATATGCCTTCAGCTTCGGGTTCATGATCATTGCCGACTGATACATGGAAACGACGTGAGTGCATCAGTGTGTTTTAAACTTTGATGTTTGCAGAGTACACACCTCGAGATGGAAACGTCCGTCGGCAATGAAGACGAGAGCGTCGACCCCTTCAATGACAGGAGACGTGCAGCCCAGCACTTCGCCAGGAGACAGAGGCTTCACTTGCGGCACGACCAAACTGGTGAAGTATTCCTTCAATCTTGAAGACACGAGGTGAATCGAGCTACTAAACTGGATTGTCCCCATCAGAGCGAGCTGTGAATAGTGACTAGATTAGTAATATGCTGCGAAATGAAGCACTAATAGACAGTTACCTTGGTTTCCGGTGGGAAAGTCAGCTTCATGCAGTCGATCAGCTGTCATGCACGTCGAAATAAATACATTAGCCGAGAGGACAAGCCCGATACTCGACGCGACGTACATGGTCGACGTCAATAGCAATGTCCACGAACACGTAGAGCATCTTAATGGACGTGACGTCGATTGGCACGAGGCAGCTGTGGCCATAGTGCACCATGAAGTCAGCCCCGAGTGCAAGTGCGCTGAGGTCATCCACACAACAAGCGCCGTATGTCACCTGCATCGCCATATATCTGTCAATAAACTCGTAGTTCTTGTTGTGTACATCAGCAAAACGTACATCACCCAGAATGATACTGTCGGCGCCCGTGAAGCGCTCGATAATGTCCGAGATTACGCAAGAATAGAGAAGAAGTCCTTCGGGGAACTGAAGTGCCACACGCTTGCTGCCAGCTTGGCGGATGCGCCACACAGTCTTGCGGATCTCGAAGTTGTAGTTCCATGGCAGCTGCTCGATGGCCTTGGTCAGCTCCGGGTCCTTCATAATCTCATCTGGGATCTGGTTGGCCATACGCCGCTTCAACGCAGCAGCCGACGGTTTGCGTTTGGTCTTGGTTTTCGTTGCGACGATCTGCTGCTGAGTGTCGCACCTGCATGCAACACTCTCAGATTGACCATTTTTGCATGTTGCAGGTCAACTTGAACGTACCCATTACTCTGGCATCCAGCGTCGGTAGCTTGACAATATCCGTTAGACTTGGTGTGGCCCGAAAAGCGCGGTGGCCCAGCGGAGGCGTCGACGCTATCGGCCTCTGATCCCATCCTTTTAGAAGCTGCGAACCAATCGGCCGATGGAAACAGCATCGGCAGGTGTACTGTATTAAGTTAGGGCAGCACAATAAAACTGGAAATCCTAAATTCTGGGATAGAAAACACTCCAACACGTTGCCAAGGTGGATGGGTACTTATGTGCATCTACAGCCTAGATAGTTGCTGACACTTTTGGAAAAAGGCGCTTCCATCCAGCAATCTGGTGAACATCTACCAATCAAAAGCTTGGAAGACTACATTCGTTTGTTGTTTTTAAAACTGGGTTAGAGCTGAACTTGATCCATAATGGAAAAGCCCAAGCTTCTTCGTTGCGTCTCAATTTCTCTGGGCCAGTTGTTGCAAGGTCTTCCCCATATTCTCGAGCTTATCAACAGCTTTTTACTTCCAGTGACAATTGATGCAGCGGTCTACAATGATCTCAGCCACGTCGTTCTGAATTACGGATACTGTCGTGAATGGACCTGTCATGCTATGGACGGCGCCGCAGCCAGAGGCAGGCTAGATATAATGAGAAGTCTTCGTGACAGTCGAGGTGAAGGTTGCTCAAGGACGGCAATTTTTAACGCCGCAGCTCATGGACACCTCGAGATTACGAAGTGGCTAATTAAACATTTCGCGACAGTGTCCTTTAACCAAAATGCGCTGATACCAGCTTTGATGGTTTCCATAACGGTTGGCCATCATGACATTTTCAGATACCTGTACGATTTTTGCAACCCCCAGCTTATTCAATCTAGAGTGGAGGCTGCAGCAGCGGCAAACCATTGTTACGTGGTCTCGGCGTTGCTACCGAGTACGTTCAGTACCAGCGATGCATTACAAATAGCAGTTGCAAATGAAAATCTCGAAATGGTGGAGCTGATACTAAAGAAAAGTCCCAGAGCGACAGATGCAACATTGGCCCTGGAGACCGCTGTGAACAGAAAATTATTTCATGTTATTCGAATGATTCTACATCGCGGAAATCACTTCGATACTACACGAATCTTTCGCGTTGCCGTCGCGAGAGGGTGTCTAAGCCTTATTGACATGCTTCTACCTGAAATCAACTCAGCAAGTGCAAGCGCGGCAGTGTTTGAGGCATTGAACCGAGACCGTGCAGATATTTTGATTTTTTTATTAACGAGAGTGGTCTGTGATGATCCCGATTTCATTATAATGAAGGCTGCGTTGCAGCATCGACAAGCGGTAGACAAGTTGCTGGACACTTGGGTGATTTAGTCGGTTGGCATTGAAATTCTTTACAACACTAGAGCTTTGCGGGGGCTGAGATAGCACGAATTGTTGCACAATTTTTAGCTACGTAGTATACTACATGTATCAATAGTAATACATGCCAGAAGTATAATAATACACGTAGGCTCCTACGTAGGGGATTTCTGTTATTCATGTCTGGCTCTTTAATTAAACTCATTCATGTATTGCTGGTCGCATGAGCTTAAGCTTACCAATGGCGAACAAGAGTAATATAAATTTCTAGCGTACAGCATTCGCGACTGGTCCAACTACATTTTATTCTTTATGAGCAAAAAGTTGCGGGCATAGCAATTCGTACACTCGAACATTGAAAATTACATTTATCGAGTACTTTCAATACCATTACAGTAGCTATTCTTATTTTCAAATACTATTTTGTTTCTAAAGAAATTACTTTTAAAGTAATTTTTTAAAAGAGTGATATTCATGACTTAGTTAAGTATCTATTCCGACCAAATGTACTCTGATAAACTTTCAAATTGAGCTTAAGCCGGGGCTTCACGACTGAAGGCTGTGTAGGTAAGCGCAAGCCCGCAGTGCATGCAACGAGGCTATCACATATCCAGACAACAGCCACAACCATGGCCAGAACTGCTGCAACCCTGACGCTGGATGCTCAGGACCAGCCAACAGTAGGACTAGGAAGCAAGTAGGGTGCTAGACAGGTGTTCCGAAATAATACATGTAGTGGAAATCCAATACAATATTTTCCAATAAATAGCTTATTTTCTAAAATTAAAATTTCCACAAATTCGTTTTTTTACCGGTTTTAGCCGGTATTATCTATCGTACTTTTTACAGTGCACCTTTTTACGATGTCTTCCTACGCCTTTCGTGACCACCGATTTGAAGTATTTACACCGCAGACCTCCTGTTACTTTGGGTGGTGCAGAACAATCACCAGCACGACCTAGTTTCAGCAAATTTACACTTTTAGAGTAACCATGACCCTCTCAACATCGTTTAAGACCAAGCAAATCTGCAGCTACATTTTCAAACCACTTCTCGACGAGCAAGATGAGCCGACCGAGCACTATCGCTGCCTGTGTGGCACCATTCGCAAGCAAGACATCAAGACTGGCTTCGCCAATCTCATCAGTCACGTCCTAAAGCAGCACCCAGACTATCTCACTATCATGGCGACCAGAGGCGTCAACTTTGGAACGCTTGTTACGTTTGTCGACCGGAAGAGCCAATCTGTTTACTCTTGGCTTGACTTTACTGTGCAATGCAGCTTCCCTTTTTCCTTTTGTGAGGATCGTACTGTCGACAAGTACACGTCGTTGAAGAGGATTTCGACTGAAATGCTGCTCAAAAACGCTGTTTTAGTGACTAAAGAGGTTGAAACCGCGACGAGTGACTTCATTCCCCCCACTTTTGGCATTATGTTGGACGGATGCACTTTTCTGTCGGAGCATTATGTTGATGTGTTTGGCGTGTTTGATCACGATGAACGCTCCGAGAAAGTTCTGCTGGCGATTGCTCCAAATGTGGACGAAGCGGCAGTTGATCAGACTGCTGCAAATTTATAGTGCCATTCTTTAAGCGCAACCTGGCTAGCATAGCTTATCCTGTGTGTGAAAATTGCTCAGTCAACACCAAACTTGCTGATTTGCTGCAAGTACCATTTATCGGTTGTGCCAGCCACCGGCTGAACTTGGCTGTAAATTTGTACCTTTCAGAGTTCGAGCCTCTATTAAACCAGCTTCAGTTGCTTATGCGGAAGTTGCGGAGTCTGAACAAGGTGGCATCATTCAGGTAAAGTTACACTAGCGTTGATTATGTTACCCGAATGTTGCGGTAAACGGGTAAGTTTTATTATTTACGAAAATAGTTTTGGTGTAAGTAAAGGAGAAAAAAAATCGTTTGCGACCAGTACTTCGCCCAGCGACGAGATGGAGCTCAACGTTTCGGATGATTGACCGGTACTTCAAGATTTGCGCCGCCCTCGACACCGACGACGACGACATCGTCTTGCTGATGCCGACGCGTCGCCAGGAAAAGCGTCTTAGGGATCTTCTCTGCGAGCTTGGGGATTTCCAGTCCTCCACTATGAAATTACAAGAAGAAAAGTTGACGCTTCTCGATGCTCGTGTCATCTTTGACGCGCTTGTTGAAAAGCATCCTGTCACCTCGAAGTATCTTGGGGCAGATGCGGCCTTTGAGAAGGATCCTGCGCTCGAAGATGCGTGCGTATTGGCGCTGGCGAGGGGGGCTGGCGAGCTGACCGAAGGTCAAGAGATCATGATGCATCCATTCGAGACGTACCTGCCGCCATGTGACGAACCAAACGTGTGAGGGGCAAGGCTTTGCAAATCAAGTCTTGGCTGCGAGGAAGAAGCAGAGGACGGCGCTGAAGGTGTTTGCTGGAGTCAGTTTTATTCCTCCCACCTCCAATGCAGTCGAGAGGCTGTTTAGTATCGCGAAGCATACACTGTCGAATCACCGCCAGAGAATGCTACCAATGCATCTTGAAACTGTCCTTTTTCTCTAGCTCAATAGGCGGTTTTTGAGCGCAGCTACTGTTGCCAAGGTCGTTCACAAGTGCCAGCATGAAGTAGCTACAATACACTTTCAATAAGACCAATACTTTATTTTGTTTCTCGTCATGGCGGTGATATTATCTTAATTCTACGATGATGAACAATAACATTGCAATGTTATTATCGGAACACCTGGTGCTAGTTAGTTATTGGAAGGTCGTATCAATTTCTCACAATTGCAATAGCAAGCATTTCAGCGGAATTACCACTTAAGGACCGCAACAAGATACAAGGAAATGAAGCTCGATACGATCGGGATGGCGATAGCTACGCAGAGCGTCCAACAAACAGTGTTCGAGCTTGTCCAAGCTCCCAAGGTGACCGACTAGAGCCTCAATGCGGATGTCAGCTGGAAGAAGAGGTGGGAACAGTACATGTACGTTGGTATTGTTCGCCGACGCTGTACTGGGGGTGATGAACGACTGGAAGTCGCCTGACGTCCAGTTAAGACCCACATTGACCTGGAACTGCCTGAAGTGCTGTGCCTCTACTAACTTCTCAAAGCTGTCGACGATGTAACCAAAGAAGAATTGGTTGCACTGATTGACGCAAAGCTTAGGTCCGTTAAACCGACCAAGTACCCGATCTGGATGACCTTTCCTTGCAACTGTTGAAGGTCGACCTTCATAAGGACGACATCAACGCCAAAACTCTCAAGTACTATCAGCACTTTGCAACGCTCATCACGGTAAACGGACTTAGCAAGATTTTGGGGTGGGTGAGCCAGCCGACAATGAATACAAAAGCCGCATGGAATTGCAGAGCACGGATCTCATCGACAATTTGGAGCCGAAATTGCGCCGGGATGACATTCGTCGGCATATGAAATATGAATGACAAGAAGTCAAGCGGGATATTTAATGCTGTTCGTGATTATCAAATAGAAAGCATGTGCACAACATAAATACAATGTGCAAGCACAAGCACAGAAGGTCAAATTAAACTTTTCTACGAAAGAGAAGACGACTGGCCCCAGCAACAAACCTGGGCCCACATCGAAAAAATCTGGGGTACACAGCGATGCTGTCTGCTCGAGCAGCAAGACTGGTGGTTTGGGTGGTGGCGCTAAACAGCAGTCGCCAAAGCAAGAGACAGCTCCACCAAAGACTGGTTGTTGGCATTACCAGGGGCTTCACTGGCTGCGACACTGTCCCATTGAGGATGACAAGACTCGGGAGAAAATGAAAGAGGTTTAGGAAATGACTCGTCGACGTGTCAAGAAGATTGGCGTGATGCCTGCGCCGGGTGAAGGCTTAATGAATAGTCTTCTGACTATCCCGTTCTTTGTAGACACAAGCTCGGGTGAGATGTATTTGCCTCGCCAATCCACGGACAAGCTGATTGGCATTGGAGCAATCCTTGATGTGGTGAAATTAGCCAGTGTAGAGAAGAAACGTGCTGCAGGAGGGAATACTGTGGAATGTCGCTATGATGTGACCGTGAATCTACTGTTGCAAACTAGGCAGGTACATTTGGCTTAAGTGTACAGCAAGGTGATGAAAGGTCTCCACAGACTTCATCCTCGACAACGACACTTTGAAATCCCTCGACATCGATCTTAATAAGCAACAATCACAACTTGCGTTTCGACTGACCCTCCGGTTGTAGATGTTGTAGACAAAGAGCCGTTGGACTTGGAAGTGTACCGAAGGTGCCCCCCCCCCTTCCGTCCCCAATATGGTGCATACTGAGCTGGAGGAAATGATGGTAGCTGTCGGCAATAGCAGCTTTGGCAATGGATACTTAAAGCTTCTTCGGGACACTGTACTGAAACACGAAGATGTATGTCGTGTAAATCGACGATCCGCCGGCAGATATGGGTACACTTTGTATCACGATAAAAGACGACGGTCAGCCTTCAGAACGCGGCCCTGCAGATATCTCCTGCACAGTGTGGTTTTTCGACAGCACGTTCGAATGTAAAAATTGGTATTAGTTTACCGGAGCAACATAAGTCTGTAGGCTTGTGCAGCCGTACCGGTCCCAAAGGATAGACGACCGAAAATATAAAATTTTGTCGGTAGATTACCGACCTGTGAGCGTGATAGCCAAAACACGCCAACCTCGGGTGTCTACACACCACTGCATATTAGCGAATCACGACCAGTGTTATGACAGTCAGTGGACCAATCACCGCCCAGTTCTTTACAGCAAAAATCCTTCTTTATACTCTAAAGCACTGAGCTCTGAAGCCCGCCTTCCCTTACCTCAACGAAAGATGCCCACGACGACCAAGTGTACGACTGTCTGCAGCGACATGGCTCGCGAGGATTCTCAGCTGCTTATGGAAGACTTAAAGGTGTTCATCATTGTGAAGAGTCAGCTGGTTCCGTGTGTGATGTGTGCACTGACCAAGCCACACAAGATGCGGTACCAACTACTTAGGTGCTCCTCGGTAACATGCAACGCAGCCACGCCATATGATTCGTGTCGGTGGAAGGGTAAGGTGCTCACGTGCCAAAGCCTTAACCGCGTCACCAGAATGGAGACTGGTGCTCACGAGACGCTGGTGAGGGGCCCTCAAAAAGCCAAGATGCCCCCCCCCCTTCGACTCAAGGACTGCGGTCGTGAAATGGTAACGCAAGGGTTGAAGCCCGCTCGGATTTGCAATGGAATGGCTCGGCGATTTAGGTTGTCGAAGACTGAGATGCCGACGCTACGTCAGGCGCAGTGGTTCGTCCGAAGAATCTTCTACACCGCAATGACGATTATGACGAAATCCTGGGCAAGGTCGACCAGTTGGCTTATGGCTCGACCGTCTCAGACACGAATCCATTTTCGTTCGGATGGAAACGTGACGCGGCAAAACCAGATGTGGGGAACGGCTCTGACGAAACGCCATTTTTGGTGGGACTGAGAGCGAAGCATCTTCTACTGAATTCGGCCCGCGATCCAGAGTCATTAGTATCTCACATGGACGTCACGTTCAAGTTGAACCAAGTCGTGTATCTTGTCATTGTATGTGGCATCTCTGACATGTGTCGCTCGTTTCATCTTGTGGCACTTTTCATAACTTCCCAACGCTTGGAGGACACGTCACAGTGCTAATCAAGCTCCGCAGGATTTTTACTTCCGTGTCTGGGGGGCGACAACTGTTGGTCAAGTTCGTCATGGCCGATGCGGAAGCTGCCCAACAGAATGCAGTGACACGAGTCTTTGGTGTCGATTGTGACTTGATGTGCTTCTATCATGTGATGGCGGAATCTATGATCTCCATTCAGCTGATAGCCTAAGATGTAATGACGAACAGGTGAAACAGATTCTAACAAAGTGGTCGGATGAAGAGCAGCTGATTTGGTTCCAAGGCTATTTTGAACGCATAATGCTTCCATACCCCCAGTGGATACGTTACCACAAATAACCCAGTGGGGCAGTTCAACCATCTGATCAAGCGTGACTACATTCTTCGGACCAAACATAATATCGAGGCGCTGTTCCAGCTGCTGGCGTATTGCTGATGTCACCAGTCGGTAATTCTAAGAATCTTCAAGGAATACCCTGAAACCGCCCAGCAGTTAAACTCAAGGGTTAGGGAATCTCACCACCGAGATCTTCTTGCGGACATGACTCCCAGCCGGTCCAGCATCGAGCTTCAACTTGTTTTCCCAAACCCAGACGTGATTCGTGTGATGTCACGTGGTCGTGCGCATATCTATCTTCCGGAACTCGGGCGCACTCGCGAGGTAACCCCGGTGTTGAACTAGATGGGAGTGAGTTACGCGCGAATGGAGGCAGCCTGAGGGAGACTGGCATGGGAATTTGAGTATGAATTCGTGCGGATGCAAGTACTTCTTCAAGTTTGCAATCTGCGTCCACATGCGTTTTGCTCTGCAGATTAAGAACTACACCGGACTGGATGGTAAAAGGGCTCTAGTTAATCGTTCTGTGTCTAAAAAAACGCCGCCGATCGGATACGCCTAGTGCCCAAGTGCCCGGCGGTCGCCCACTGGCAAACCGACATGCGTTGAATACGGAGTAAAATTTGTTAGCCGTAAGTACAGTGGCTGCTTGCTAAACAAAGAAACCATAGCTTCTTGTTTATTAAATTAAATTAGTAATAGCATCACGTTTACCTTCAATTTTAGCTTCGCTTTATACAAACCTTGGTTTGCTTTCATTCTCCAACGGACCTCGACGATGGCAAGCCAACACGACGGGCTCCCAACGGACGTAGCCCCACCAACATCCTATCCTGCCTTCTTTAGATGGTGTCAAGCGCACCTCCGCAATAGTGGGTGGGACGCCTCGATGAGGCTGCGACCCGATACTTGAGGAAATAAGGTCATGTCCAACGAGATGATACCTCAATTACCGCAGACGCAATCAAGCGGCTGCTCGATGCTGTGCCAAACGCACGCATCAACAAGGCCCGCCACGTTGAGACAGCTGCTTTAGGTTACGACGCTGGTGAGGTGAAAGGGGCCTTTTTACTGGAACTGACTTAAGCGGTCTACCAACCTTCCAGATGTGGACCATCCTCGCTGATCGACGAACTAACAATCGTGTCCAATTCCTTACCTCTTGGCCGACATGGGAGCCGACAGCGTATCTCCCTTCAAACAAAATACGTACGTACCGTAGGCGCCAGCAGCGCCGAGTAGAGCGCGCCTACGTTGAAGTGAAAGCGGCAGAAGATTAAACAAGTATTAGCAGGCGCATGATACATATTTTTTCCCTCCATGATACATTTCTATTTCTTTACCTCATGTAGAACTCTTTCTATGGTCAACACTAGCAACGCACTAGGCCATCCGCAAGAGCAGTACAGAGGCTTCACCCTACAACATGCTCAGCACAAGTCAGCCCGACGCTAGCAAACCATATTACAACTCTGCATATCTGGGTAGAACGTAGGGATAGTCTGGATACCGAGGTAGAGCGTAGCGGTAGCGTGCACGTCGGTAGCTGGGACTTCACTGTGCACGGACGTCGCCGTACCGGAAGTCACGGCCGAGGAACGTTGCGCCCGCGCCCAAGGCCTTGCTGTCTTGTGAGAAAAATGCCGAATGAGCTGACTGCTCCTCGCTACAAGGGGCAGTCAGTTCATTGGTTACATGTCGGAGACGCATGAATGGTCCACGTTTTACTGAGCCTCTGCCGCAGACCCTCTAACGCATTTCCAGAGAGCAGTCAACACACGCACGATCTTTGAGGCACGCAGACTGTGCGTGTGCAGGCTGCATTTCGCATTGCATTTGTACTAATTTGTCAATCATGAGAGCCGGCAAGCAATTTGGTGCATTTGCTCACTGGAAAAGTCCCATTGCAATCCAACGGGAGCGAACGACGGCGCGTGCTTTCCAAAAACCGTTGAAGCATTCAGAATCAACAGGCAGCCGCGGAGACGCGGTACAACCTACGGGACGGGCTAAGCTTTTTGCCAGGAGCATGTAACGTAGCTGCACCAAGTCAACGTGCAGTGTCGTTCTTTGTCATTGCCATTGAGACCAATCCTGACCATAACATGGCCGTCATCACTAGCGCTGAATCCGCTTAAACTTTTGACAAGTCCTACTGCGCCATCGTGCCGTGCATCACTACCTGATGCCTATCCAGCAATTTAACACTTCGTGCTTATAGCTCCCACAGGGGCTCTGCTACGACGATAATCGGGTAGTTAGCTATGGTCTGAAAGATCATCTCGCAATATACTTGCTTTGCAACAAGCTAACTCCGAACAACTTCTCTCGTGTCCCGTTCTTCCACCCCCTACTTGTTGACGCCCCTTTACACTCCGTCTCCTGAGCCGCTCTACATTTAGTAGCACTTGCCTTCTTTGTGTGGTACATTGACCAATCAAGGCTCTCCATTTCAGTCAGTCGCGTTTCAAGAAACATCCTGTATTTCAATAAATATCGTCCAAGAACAAAATAGTATTTCGTCCATTCCTGTTGCTTCTAGTTTCCTAAATTATAAGCATTGACAGCTTATACACCTCTACTACGCCGCCATTGCACCACCTACGTCTCCGTGATGTCTGCCGATCTAGCCAAAGTTTTTTGGCTGCTTTGCCCAATCCTCTACAGCAGCAGAACACGGCGCTTACGCAGGCGCTGGTAGAGCAGCTGCCGTGGCAGCGGATTGCACTTGCTCAGAAAGAGGCCTGTATCAAGACATCTCCATGTCTACCTTCTCGGGTTTGCCTAAATAATATGTCGACGAGTTCGTTTCCGCCAAGCTCTCTGTAACGGAGTTACACGCAAGTGGCTACATGTAACCACTTGGTTACGAAGAAGGTTTTTCCACGTCGGTGTGAGATACACCAATGGTTACATTTGGCAGACTATTGGTCGGAATGCATTTAGGGCATTCATTGGTTGAAAGTCAATATCTTCAACCAATTAGAGTTGTAGGATTCTGTCAATAAAACGTTGGCAAATACCTTTCATTTAGAATATAGATTAGGAGAAAAACCCAAACAAAAAGAATAATAGCTCTCAACTTTACTGGAAATTGGCTTTGCTTTTCGATTTAAGTAAAGGTATACTTTTGGACAAAAGTTTAGTTAATCTAAGTGAAACACATCTTACGCTTCCTCATACACGTGCGCTAACGTGTAAGCCGAAGGAGTGGGCTTAGCGTAGGCCCATTACACTTTCCATGAATGGCGGAAACATCGACTATTACCTGGACGCCAATCAGCACCGTCTGGTATCCATGCTCGCTGCAAATCTGCGTTTTGGAGCCGCATCGTGATACCACACACGTGTCGTCATTGATAGTTAGTAACTGAACACCTAGGATATTTCCAAGCACCTTTGACCCGTGAGTTCGTACCACCGGATTAAAAATAGCGGGTGCGGGCATCGATCAAATAGTGCTGTAAAACGGCCTAAATTGAGGATTACGCTGCTCAATTTCGTCACCTTGTTGCTAGGCTGCGTGACATGAGTCAGCTCGATCAGATCAACCGTTTTTGTGACGGTTTAGAAGCCGAATTCCGCAACGAAGTAAGCTACCGTCGCTGTTCTGCCCTATCGCAGCCATTGAGTGAGCTCAGGCGTACGAACGTACGCGTTTCGGGGGAGCCACTGACTCTCCACGTGTGGAAGCTATGCGCTCAGATCATACTGCTGACAATGGTTTCCCTATTCATTTGGAGATCGGTGCGGCTAACCCACGTCAGGTATCGACGGACACCTGCCATCGACTTGGACTTTGTTTCTACTGCAAACGACAGGGCACATCATTAATCGCCGTTTAGTCTGTCAGGCGCGTCCGTGGCGAAATGGCGAGAGCGAGCTCAGTCGCCGTGATGTCCGTACCGCTATGGCAATAGGCAGTGTGAAGAACCATCTGTAAACAAGAGCACCGGGGATGGGAATGATGTAATTGAAATGGAGCATCCTGCGTGCTATTCTGTGCATGTGAGCACAGTGGCCATAGAAGAGGTTGCTAACACCAAGCCGGTGGCCAATTTGCTCATGTAAATTGCCATAGTGGATGTTCATTTGGTTCGCCTACTGATTGATTTGGGTTCCACGCATAACATCATCAGGTCAGGCCACAATACCCCCCGGCTGGCTCCAATAAGACGTTTTGACGGGAATATGTCGCCGCCTACTGCAACGGCCTATGCCCCCTGTCAAGTTTGAAAGGCATTCGCGTTCATCTGTTTACTTCATGGAATGGATAATTTTGCACCGCGATAACGACATTTTGTGGCAAAAATGGCATCGCGAGTTGAACCAGTTATTAATTGGCAGAAGCGAATGATTGCAACCACGCAAGAGGAGCTACAACCAATCAGCGCCGATTCGCTCAATGAGATACTGTATTGCGTTCGCTTTGCGGAAAATTTCCAGTTGCGTATAGTGCCAGTACGAATCATTTTATAGATACTCGCATGTAGCCTTTAATCGCACGCTATGCTGATATTTCTCTCCATCAACTTCCGAAGGTGCTACCTCCAGCGCGCTCTATCGAATATGAGATCACGCTCAGGCTGGGAGTCCGCCCTCAACATCGAGCAAGTTTCCGACTGTTACCCGTGAAGCAGCAACCGCTGCAGGAGTTTGGGGACTCTTTGCTGGAGCAAAAAGGATTTAAGTGAGCGATATGCCATAGATGGCCAACCTAATATGTTATCCCAATATGCTATACAAAAATTATCTGCAGCTCGGAAGAAATACCTAGAGACGAGAAGAGCTTCTACGCGAGCAGAATGTCTTGAAGTGGGGATCCAGACGCTTGGATGGTCGACTAAATTTGCAAAGCGAGGTTCCTAAGGTTCTCCTATCGGGGTTCTACAACGTTTTCGACATGATACAGTGTGCTCGCTACATCTCGATATAGCATCGGGATATCAACAGATGCGGTGGCTCCGTCGTCGCGTCATTTCACTGATTTCCAGACTTCTCAAGATGAATATGAATAGTTGGTAGCTCCCATGGGATTGACAAGAATATCAGGCACATGAACTCGCTTGATGGTGTCGTTTTTTACTGGTGCGAACTTTTTGTTGTTGTTGTGGTGGTGTATACAGATGCTAGTTGCGTTTCAGCACTACTGTCGCGCCCCGCACAATGCTGTTCTTCGTGAGCTTAATAAGAATCTACTCTACGCGCGCAAGGAGAAGTGCGTCTTCATGCGCAGGTAATTTTATAGGCGCTCCCGAGCCACGGGTGAATACGCGATAGATTAAGGATGTGTCATCATGGGTTGCTCCGGTCAACCGACGCGAATTACAGCGATTCGTGAGATTCGTGAATTTTAAGGATTGATTGCTGTCTCGGCCACGATGCTCGCACCTATTAATGATCCTCTAAAGGACAGGCTCATTGGCGTTGGTATCAACCTCTTGAACTCGCGTTCTACAGGGATTAACGAAAGCACCGGTATTGCAGCTTCCCAGCTTCTAGTTTACGTTTATGGCTACTACGGATGTATCCAGCTTTGGTGCTGGTGGTGTGCTGTCGCAGCTAAAGGATGGCGTGGACTTACGTGCTGTATACTTCTCGGAGCAGCTAAAACCATGTGATATAGATAGCCGGTAGTTGAGCAAGAATTATTGGTTATCAAGTTGTGCCTCGAGGTCTGGAGGGTGTATTTGATTGGTGCCATATTTCGCTTGTTTACTGACAGCATCGCGTGCCACTGTACATTGGTGCCATCGGGGGAGAAACGATCGGCGAAGTTGAAGCGGTGGGTGGGTTATCTTTCAACTCGAAGTATACCACCGTACTGGAGCAGCAAACGTCGAGGCTGACGCACTGCCGAGGGCCTCTCACCCTTCCAATTTGTCCCATGTAACTTGCGGCCTTGCGGTATTGTGCGAAGATTAGACGTTTGCGACAGCAGCCCGAAACCGGCCGCAGACGCCGGTGATCTCTTCAATGCTCAGTACTTCGTTTATCTTGTTGGTTCGAGCTGCTCGTGCGGCCTACGACAACAATAGTTTTCCACGAAGTGACTGGAGTATCTTATCGGAGCAGAAAATGTGAAACAAAACCGAGCTGGAAACCGGTATCCGTGTGGGACATATAATGGGTCACTTAGCGAAGTATACACATACCAAGATAAAGCAAGAGGACGAACTAGCTTTCGGACACATTGTGGGCCAAAGTACATACATTATTCAAGTCATTTACACGACGACTGACTGCTGCTGCTGTGCTCTCAGAGATTTCCGAGTCTTTTGCGTTCGAAAGCGAGGTTTGTCCTCCATGTTCATCAGATCCCTTTCAAGTCGCTCGGCTTTCTTGCACTATTTTTCTAGCTCTTTAGCCACGCGCTCGTTGTCCTTCTTTTTGAGGGCTTCAAGCATTTGTCCGTGCGTTAGAAGCACTCCACCTGAGTGGCGCTCATCCACAAACGCTCCTCGTTTTCGCTTGCTTTGCTGCGGTGTGTACGTTTCCCTCGCCACCAAATTGACTAGCTCCAGGGCGTCGAGATCCAGACCTTGCCGCTCAAGCCGTTTGCGCTGGCGCTCACTCAACTGAAGTGTCCGTACATGAGGCACCACAGCTGCGTGATGGGGAAGCTTACGCTTGTTAACGTGTGGCGTGTTGCCAATAAGTGCAGACAGCATCATGTCGATTGACAGTGGGTAAATTCCGGTCTTAGCAAACGCAGCTACTGCATTCTTCTTCGAGAAGGCCAAATCAAATGGCATGCGCGTCAGCTCAACGACGTCATCTCGAGTAGGTAGAAGCCCTCTGTTGTGAGAAGGAAATAGTTGTAACTGCTTCTCGTAAAGTCTCTTGAAGGGTTGGTTTGTGCCCACATCCAGTGGCTGCAGGAAGTGCGATGTGTGCGCTGGAAGCACGAGAATATGCACGTCATGCTCGCATCCCCATCGGACGGTGTGATAATTAACATGAGCAAATGTCCATCCAAAATCAGCAGTTGCGGGCGCTCTGCAGGCAACTTGCTAACGAACCGCTTAAACCAATGCCGAAAAAGGTCTCCATTAATGTTCGACGATTCGGACATTGCGCACACAGCACCTTCTGGAGCATGCTCCATCCATTCCACCTTGCGGCGAACTCCAGCAAAAATGTACATGGGCGGCATGATCGTGCCCGCTGCACTAATACAGCCCATGATACTGACGTTCTCACGATCAGAAGAGCGCTGGACGTTGGCTGGGCATCCTTTCGGAGCTACAACACGCTCTTGGCAAGTGCCTTGGGCACACACACCAACTTCATCACAGTTCCAAACTTGAGCAGGGCGTTCGCCCAGCCCCAACTCGCTGACAGCAGCTTCTAGATTACCAAAGTAGTGTTTAACAGCGTCCTCAGTCGACCCCTCCGCGCGCTTCCCCTCCAAAATTCGCGCCTTTCGCAGCGACAACCAGGGTGAGTGCTTCTTCATCCAGCGCTGCACAAACTTTCGGTTTGGAAAACGCTCAGGAACCGGCCAGAGTGAGGAAACCAGCGCGGCTTGGCGAATAAAGTAGCTGAGAGACGGCAGCCCAATACACATTCCTCGTTTGGCGTGAAACCCAACGATCTCGTGGTGTAACGAGGTACGTAGCCCTAAGTGTACCCTGGTTACATGAAGTGTGACACTTCACACTTCAGGAGTATGACACGTCATACTCCGAGATATTTGGTACAAGGTACCAAGGTCGTTCAATGCCAACCATTGGTTAAATGACATTGCATTTCTATAGGTAACTAACAGTTTGTATTAAACCCAAACTTAATCTACCTATAAATATACTCAGTTTACAATCTACCTTATTTGGGTCACTTCGCTCTCTTGAATAAAAGAGGGGACCTGTGAACTGCCGTTCACTGAGAGTTTGTATACTCTCGGAAGATAACTTCCTCTTGCGCAAGGTGCTGTGTGACCCCGTCACACTTGGTAGCACTTGTAGTCAATCCACGCCATCGCGGGTAGACTACCTGAACCTCCGAAGTTCGTTGCCATGGATAGGAACGACTTCTCTCATTTGAACGACTCTCAGTTCGAGTCGGTTCGGAAGATGGCAGGCATCTTCGGGATGGAGGCCCTGCAGAGCCTGGTGGTGTCAACACCGGCTGAGCAGCTCGAGCGCGTCAATGCATTCGACGCGTACGAGCAGGGCCTCATCGCGCATGTGCGGGAGAACCTGCAGGCTCCGGCGGCGGAAGCAAATTCGCCTCACCCGAAGCCAATACGGCTGAAGGTAAAGCCGTATGAAGGGAAGGAAGGCGAGAACCTTCACTTCTGGGTCCGAGAAGTAGAGCTCGCGATGGACGCGGCTCTGATCTCGACCGAGCAACTGCGTGTTGCTTTTGCACTCTCCAACCTTAGCGGTCGTGCTAAGAGTTGGGTGTACACTCGGGAAGCAACATCCCCTGGATGTTTCACATCCTGGGCTCAGCTGTGCGAACAGCTCCGAGCCGCGTTCCTCCCGGCGAACTACGAGTACCGCCAGCGTTCGCGCTTCCTCGCGTGTAAACAAGGAAGGCGCGAACTGCACGAGTATGTGCAAGAGATACGGGAGCTCACGGCGTCCCTAGTGGGAAACCCACTCAATGAACACATCAAGATGACTGTGTTCATGGACGGCCTTCGAGTGGGCCCCGCACGCACTCAGCTGTTCCGGGTACAGGCAAGCACCCTTGAAGGGGCGATTCAAGTGGCTCTTCAAGAAGAGTACAGCCATCGCCAGGCGCGTACGCCGGCCTCAGCGTGGCCTGGTAGCTCCTTGTCGGCTCCCGGTCGAACAAGCCCCAACGGATTAGTTCCCATGGAACTCGGGTCCGCCGAACAGCGTGACATCCGCTGCTTCGGCTGTGGGAAGATGGGCCACTTCAAGCGCGACTGTCCCGCGGAAAGACTCCGCAGACGGTCCTTCCCCAAGCCCGTCCTCAAGGGTCGCTGGCAGAAGCCAGGATCCCGGGGACAGGGGAACACAGGGAACCAGTAGGGGCGGGGCGGCCTACTGGGGAAGAACTAAGTCTTCGTGATGGGTGCGCGGGTGGCGCGTACCACGGGGACTTAGCCCCTGAGAGTCTTCGCACTCTCGAATC